TCGGACATGCTCTATGCTAGCCATTCTGAAGCAGCCAGGGGGGGATTCTGCATGAGCCAAATAGCAGAGACAGGACCAATTGTCAAAATTTTGGTGTCGATCATTCAATTTCATCCTGGACACTACAGAAAATGGGCTAAAAGTGTTAAAAACCGGAATTTGTAGATCTATTTCATTTATTTCTTTACAAATTCTGTTTTACTAATTATTTAAAAAACAATAAGGTGATAATAAGGCTTTATTGGTCTGTGTCTTCGGCAGGCGTAGAGCTAACAGAACTGGCAGCGTTGCGAGGCAAGGGCTCAAACATGTACGGCTGGAAGCCTTCTACACCAAACCAAGCTTCTGCCGCCCTGGCGTCCTCTTCCACAACATCTTCGTCCCCGCTTTCCTCCTCTAAATAAAAAATGGATGACGGAGGAGACTCATCCACGACCTCCGACACTAAACTCTCCTCCTCTTGCATGTTTCCGCTGTCCATAGCGTTCCCTGACAGCGTCGTTTCTAAGTCACCAATTTAGTGCTACTTGGTCCCAATGGAATTTCCCATTGGGAACCTGCTAGCGCTAAGATGCTAACTGGTTAGCAAGATGCTTCCCACAAACCGGCCACAACCAAACTTGCTTGCGAACCTTCTGCCACAACAATCCCGCCCCCTTGATAATGGACCAATCACATTCACTTTATTCACTGGTGTAAAGTCGGGCGCCACTGGGAGAATTCAGGAATGCAACGGTTGGAACGGCCGCTTCCCTACGACTTTAAATTAAGTAAAAAATATGTAAAATTCCTAAATTCTGAATGTATGTTGACTTAATAAGACATAGAATTTTAATTAAACCTAATTAAATAGAAATTTCACTTCATGCAGGTCTCTTTATATATTTGAATCTCTTGCTCCGTTTTTTATTTGATGTTTTTCTGGGCCGGGCCCCTCCTGGCCCCCCTGGTATACTTGGTCTAGATCCGCCCCTGCCTCTTGCTCCGCATCATAAACCCTCCGCTGAGCGGTCAGATCTAAGCACTCAGTCGGAACCCTTTGAACTGAACCGGGCCCTCACTGACAGCTGCAGGGCTGCCGTCACCGTCTCCATGGAAACCAACACGTGGAGGGTCCCCAGCTGAGCAGGTGAGGCCGCGAGCTTTTGTCCCGAATGAAAGCGGTGGAAGCTGCTGGATCTGCGGGAGGAGCCCCACGCAGGACCCGGAGACCCAGCAGCTGCAACTTCCTCCTTACCTCCTCCTGCTGCTCCTCCTCCTCCTCCCGCTGGCTGCTCCGCTGTCCGGACGGAGGCTCCCGCATAAAATCAGTCAGTTTGCGGGTGTTTGCGGGAGTTCAGAGCGCTGAGCCGCTCAGCTGTGGGACTGACGGCGATGAATTCAAAGACCGTCGGACAAATGAGTGAGGGCGGGAATAAAGCGGCGCTGTTATAGAAATGAGGGCGGGTCGCAGCTCTGGGTCACGTGACAAACAATAAAAGGATTAAATAATAAAGAAGTTTGAACCAGAAGTTTGTGCGAAGTTACATAAAAGCCTCTAAACAGACCAGAAGTTTCCGGATGCGAAACAATAAAAGCTAAAATGCTGTTAAAATAATGTCGCTTTAAAGATAAACTTTCATTTTCTAATGAATTCTCGAACATTTTCACAGTTTTTTTGTCTAATCTACGTCATTTACTTTAAAAAGTTTCATGAATCTTGATCATGTTTTTCCAACATCTAAACAAAGCTGATAATTTAAACTGTTTAATGTTAAAAGCTCTGCTCTTAATTAATGGAACCTGAATGCAGCAGACTTTTAGAAAACATTAAGTTTTATTTTATTCTCTTTCTAACTCTGGATGATCCACCTGTTCATGGAAACCTTGTTTCTGTCTCTTAGGAACTGATCTCAGCTCCTTTATGGATGAAGATCTGCTGCTGCTTCCATCTGCAGCGCCTACCTGTCCAGGTGAGACAGCTGCAGGCTCCGCCCACCGTACCCTGGTGGGAGTTCTGTTCTCAGGCTCTAATTTCTTATTTCTAGAGGAATAAAAACACTTTGAGAATGTGATTCTGACCTGCGTGTTTTCTCCTGGAACTGTTTCAGTCTGCTTGTGTTCTCAGGACGTCCAGTCAGCTGCAGCTCCTTCATATCAGTCCTCAGAACACAAACAGCCTCTTTTATCTCTCTGACTGTTGGCAGAAAACCTAGAAAAGTTCTGCTGCAGACACTGGAGGAGCTCAGAGTTCCTCTGCAAGGACGACCTACAGGCTTACAAACCTCTGCAGACCAACCAGAGTATGAGAGAGTTTTATTATTACCACTATGGCAGAGTAATAATCCGATTAATCATGGAATCATTCTCAGGTTTAATCAGAGCTGCGACGGGTTCAGATCAGACAGTCACTTTATTCAGAGTATCTTTGCTCTATCAGTGTCTGCAGCTTCTATAATCATTCATAATCAGATGAATCAGAGGAACCTTCAGAGATCATTTCAGTCGCTGCAGAACTCCAGGCTGGTTCTAAAGGGAGACATTTATGGAGTTAATTCTGTCCCATTATTGTTGCCTGTGTAAATTATTGGTTATTCAGTTTGTGGCAACCAAAAAAACAGGCCTAAAGGCCTGGTTATCCTCCCCCAGCAGTGTGTCGCAGTGAGCGTGTCGCAGATATTTTTGATTTCTGCCCAGTATTGAAGCGTGGTCTGCGCTATGTTATTCCACGCCACAACGCCAGAGGGCCAATCAGGAACTAGCTGTGGGTCTAGATACGGCCGAGGCGGTGAGGAAGTGAGGGCAAGTTTGTGAGACAACGGAGGGACATGAGGGCCAAAAAGAGCGAGGATCCAGGGGATTTTTTTTCTATTTCGAGAATAAAGTTGTAACGAGAAACCAGTAGCTCTCAGAAGAAGATCTTTCTTCCCTAAAATGAGGAATGTGGAGCATCATGGGAAGTTAGATGTTGGAGATGTTGATGTTGGAGATCGGCCTGTTTTCCAGTGTAGTCCTGTTTCTCTGACTGTGACTAACTGGATGTGCTCTCTTCATCCTCTGACATGGGAGCTGGCTCGGAGCTCGTCTGCCTGGCTGTGTGTTTCCTGGACGGGGCCGCCTGTGGAGCTGGTTGACAGTTGCCTTTTGTATCTATGCTTCTTTTTCTATGTCTGCTTCTGTCTCCTTGAACCCCAGTCGGCCTCAGCAGATGGCCGCTCACACTGAGCCTGGTTCTGCTGGAGGTTTCTTCCTGTTCAAAGGGAGTTTTTCCTCTCCACTGTCGCTACAAGCATGCTTAGTGTGAGGGATTGCTGAAGAGTCAATGAGTCGATGCAATCAGCTGGTTTTCCTTAGATAGAAAACTTTGAATCATCTGACTGGATGATCTGGTTGAACTGTAAAGTGCCTTGAGATGACATGTGTTGTGAATTTGGCGCTATATAAATAAACTGAATTGAATTGGAAGTTCTACTTTAGCATCGGTTTGACGAATCAGGAAATCTTTTAGCGGCAGCATCAAACTGGGCAGGATGTCAAAGTGGACTCTGGTTGCTGATTGGTGGAGCTGGTCTGACATCATCTTCTGGGCGGAGCTCCAAGTTTTCTTTCTGAAACTGGTTGTTGTAGTACTAAGTATTAGGGCCGGGTTAGAGATTTTTTTTTTGTTTTGAGAATAAAGTCGTAATATTACAAGAATAAACTATTAATACTCTGAGAATAAAGTCGTAATATTACAAGAATAAACTATTAATACTCTGAGGATAAAGTCGTAATATTGCGAGAATAAAGTTGTAACATTATGAGAATAAACTTGTAATATTTTGAGAATAAAGTCGTAACTTTACAAGAATAAACTATTAATACTCTGAGGATAAAGTTACGGGAATAAAGTCATAATATTACGAGAATTAACTTGTAATGTTCCGAGAATAAAGTTGTAACAATGCGAGAATAAACTTGTAATATTTTGAGAATAAAGTCGTACTATTGCGAGAATAAAGTCGTAACATTGCGAGAATAAAGTGATAACATTACAAGAATAAACTTGTAATGTTCCGAGCATAAAGTTGTAACAATGCGAGAATAAACTTGTAATATTTTGAGAATAAAGTTGTACTATTGCGAGAATAAAGTCGTAACATTACGAGAATAAACTTGTAATACTCTGAGGATAAAGTCATAACATTACGAGAATAAAGTCATAATATTACGAGAATAAACTTGTAATGTTCCGGGGATAAAGTTGTAACAATGCGAGAATAAACTTGTAATATTTTGAGAATAAAGTCGTACTATTGCGAGAATAAAGTCATCACATTACGAGAATAAACTTGTAATATTCCGAGAATAAAGTCGTAATATTATGAGAATAAACTTGTGATATTCCGAGAATAAATTCGTGACATTACGAGAATAAAGTCGTAATATTACTAGGATAAAGTCGTAATATTACTAGGATAAAGTCGTAATATTACTAGGATAAAGTCATCATACCACAAGAAAAGAAAGCTTGGAGCTCCGCCCAGCAGATGATGGCCGACCCGCTCCACCAATCAGCAGCCAGAGTCCACTTTGACATCCTGCCCAGTTTAAAGATTTCCTAATTCGTCAAACCGATGCTAAAGTAGAACTTCCCATGATGCTCCACATTCCTCATTTTAGGGAAGAAGGGATTCTTCTGAGAGCTGTCATAAAATACTACTGGTTTCCCGTAAATTTTGGACTATTCTGTTAATATTATGACTTAATTCCCGTAATTTTATGACTACTCTCGTTGTGACTTTTTTTTCCGTAATATTACCACTTTATTTTTGTAATTTTACGACTTTATTCTTGTAACTTAACTTTATCCTCTAAATAGAAGAAAAAAAAATCTTTACCCTGGCCCTAATATCCATCCTACTTTCAAAACATTTTTTTCATTAACATTTTTTTTCAAAGTTTAGTTTCTGAATTGCACTTTTTTTTCCTTTGCAAAATGTGTTTTTTTCTTGCAACAATACTGAAACAAAGTTCACTCCATAGCTGTAGAGCTGAACTCTGGGAAACCGAGTTCTATCAAAGACCTGGATCTTTTCCCAGTGTGCCATCCTGAGCTCTGCAGAGAATAACCAGTTTATAAACAGTTTATTAACGAATGCCTGATGATTAACGACCTTATTAGTCATCAGAAGCTTGTGTTTTTTTTCCAGCACAGCCAGAAACCCTTGCAGACAAAGCCATGATTAAAGCAGCTCCTCAGTCTTCTTCTCTCCCACTAATCAGCAGCTTCCTGTTCCAGGTTGTTTATCTTTTCCTCCTTTCCTAGTTTGTCCATGTTTCCTCTGCAGCTCTGAGCGGAACAGCGAGCCCTTCCTGTTTCCTGAAGCTCTAAGTTCAGGGATTCATCCTAATAAAAACATCTAGGAGATGCTTTCTGCTCAAACAGCAAACTTTAACAAAGCTGCATGTTTAATCTTTTAGAAACACAGAGCTCCAATAAAACTGGACATTTTTCATATTGGGGAATATTTTTCAGACTCAGTAATTCCTTATAGCTGAATAGTGTTGGATGTAAAGGTGGCAAAGATGGAAATAGAGAGAAAAGGATAAATGGCGCCCCCTAGAGGCTACAACTGGAAAACAGTTAGAATCACCCTGAAACATACAAATGTCTGCTTTTTGTTTCTGGATATTTATTGACCTTCATGGCTGCTAGTCAGAACAATGGCCATCAGTTTACAGTTTAACAGAATTTCAAGTCATAAGCAAGTTCATCCCTCAGAGACATAGATGAGTCAGAAACAATTTTAAAAATATTTTTTCCAAAGAAACTGTAACTGAAAGCTTTATGTTTGTTGGAGCTACGGAGCAGATCAATCATCCTCTCACAACACAGCGCTGCATCTAGAAGCTTCAGTTCAGTGAAGGAAGCATTATGTTAAAGCTGCAAGGAACTCTGGGAAATGGAGTTTCTTTCATCACGGCTCCTAATAGGATGTTTTGTCTTCCTGGGGGAGCAGAAGCCCCTCATTCAGGCGTGTCACATGTGGCCATGCGCTGCTGCAGTTTCCCAAACAAACTCAAATGGTGATGAAGAAAAGCAAAAAATTAAAAAGTGCTGAATTTGATTCATTAATCCTCTTTTTTCGTCTCCTCTTTCGTCTCCTTCTTCGCTGCTTCTGCTGTCACCTCCACAGTCAGAAGCTCCTCCCCTTCCTTGCGTGGCGTCATCCTGATGATGACGGAGCTGTCCGCTGTCTCTGCCACAGACTCGTCTCTGTCCTCTGGAGCCGGGCTCCGGGGGACCGGAGAGCGGCGGTGCATCGGAGAAGGGGGCGGGACCGGAGAGATTGGGGGAGGAGCCTGATTAAACACAGATGGAGGAGAGGAGGCAGTTATTTGGTTAAAACTCAACAATTCCATAAAGAGGAAAGAGCAAGATAACACCCCCCCATAGACCTGACAATAACTTCTCCTCATGTCACTTATTTCTCTTTATCGATTGTTAAGCTTCCTATCCTCCTTCCTTTCCTCCCCTCCTTAAACTCCTGTACCTCTGTTTGGGCCTCAGATGGTTTGTAGACCTTCTTCAGCTTGGCGAAGGTCCCCTCAATGCCCGCCTGCTCCGTCACCTTCAGAGCAGCCTTGAACAGTTTGGGGGTGTCTGGTCGGGGCGGGATGACCTCCGCTGCCTCCTTACGTGTCTCCTTCTCCTCCGGCTTCTTGTCCTTGGTCAGCATTTTCCTGCGCAGAGAGAGGCAGACAGGAAGCCTGACCACACTGAGGTCCAACCGACACGTTTAAGGTCTGCATCCCAAAGTGGGACGTCACATTCTGTCTGACTGAGCAGAAAACCTGAGGAGGATCACAGAGATCATGTGACCTGGTTCTCCTGGACAAAGTAGAGCGAGCAGCTTGAGCTGATTAGAGATGGGAGTAATCCTGTCGAGGACACATCAGACACAGGAAGGAGAACGGAGGAAACCAGTATAAATGTCTGAGGCTGGAATCCAGAACTTTTATAGAAGTTTGCCAAATCGTCCGCTTCCTTTGGACTCTGGTGGCTCTGACCCGCTGATATGTCCCTCTACGTCTTCTAGAACCTGCGGCGGGTGATGCTGAGTCTGATCCACACAGGGCGTCACTAATGAATCCGTCAAACTAATCACATTAAACGCTTCGGTCTCTGTGAGCTTTAAGAGACAGAACCAGGAAGTACAATGACCGGATCTGATGATGCTGTGTGACATCATCTAAACTGTCCAACCAATGAGCCACTGTGACCTCACATTTCCTGAGGTTCATTTGCTGTTCCGGTAGACCTTCAAGGATCAAACTGATGTCTTCTGCATTGTATGATAAAATATTCAAACTAATATTTTATAAAGTAATAAAACCCAAATGAGAACCAAGCTTCTCTTTAACCCCCATCAATAGTAACCAATCACATCACAGAACCAGGTCCAGTTTGGTGTCCCCGGATCTTACTTGGCCTTCTTTCGCAGGAGTTTCTGGGACTCGGGATAATGGACCAGGATCTCTGCCAGGTCCTTCTTATCCAGAATGAAGAGGTTGGCGAATCCATGAGCCTTCACGTTGGCTGTTCTCCGGTTTCCCCCACCCCCGGCTAGCAGACTAACCAATCAGAGAGAAAGTCTGTCAGGATATTGATCAGCAAACTTTAAACTCAAATTTTATCTGCAGTCTTTAAGCCTTTCTGTGAGTCTGCAGAGTTTCTGACCTGATCTCTCCGAACACAGAGCCAGCTCTGATGGTGACGAACACGGTCTGCAGGTCAGGACCGCCAACCACCTGAACTTCCCCTTGCTTGATGATATACATCTCCCTTCCAATCTCCCCCTGAAACACACGGACGCCATTTCAGTGCCACGTTCAGCTCAGCAGAAGCTCCCAAACCAACACAGAAGATGAGCTCTGACCTTTTTACACACAAAGTCTCCAGGCAGGTACACAACAGACTTCAGCCTGGTCAACAGGTCGAACACCATCTGCCTGTCGCAGCCCTGCAAGACACAAACACGGCCAGATTTTCATGCTCGGCTGTTCTCTGTAGCAGCTGTTTGACGCTGGTCCAGCGGTTCTTAGTTTCTCACCTGAAAAAGTGCCACTTTGCTGACGATGGAGTAGTTGACGTCTACAGCAATGTCCAGCCTCATTTTAGCAGGTAGTTGAATCAGCAGCTCCTGTTCATCTGGAAACACACAGTCACCATGAACTCACCATGGGGCGTTCAGGAACGCTGTTGACGTTTATCCTCACCCTACGGTCTCTCTAGATTTGTCAGAGATCATAATACTGTAGGTTTCCTTTGCTTTCAGGATCCTGGCAGCTCTGTCAGCAGAGAATGGAAGCTAAAGCAGAGTGGTTTCTTCAGGTGGGATCCCTCCATATTAGATTTCTCTCGCCTTTCTGGCAGATTGGCTTGGGTTGTACTTATATAGCACTTTATCAAATCAGGAGACTTGACCAAAGTGCTTTTCATCAAATTAAGTCATTCTCCCATTAACTCACACACTGACACACTGATTGTGGCAAACTAAATTTCCACTGACAGAAGTGAGGCTGCCGTACACCGGGCCCTCTAACCGCCATCAGTAGGAAATGCAGGTAAAGTGTCTTCCCAAGGACACAGTGACACTAGAAGCCAGAGCTGGGGCTTAAAACCAACAACCCTACGGTTGCAGGGCAACCTTCGGCATCCGGTGCCACCGTCGCCCCAAGATTGAGGCCAGATCAGATGAAAAAAACAAAAACAAAACTGAAGCTACTTCAGGAAGAAAGCAATTATGTTGCTCCTATTTGCTTAGTTACCAACTTAATAGATGTTTAGTCCAATCTCCTACATACCAGAGCTCCACCACCATCACCCCTTGGCTAAGATGTTCTGCCTAAACCTGTTAGCCTGGCATTTATAGCTTTGTGGTTGCATGGATTGTTTGATGTAGCCACATGACACCAACCTATTGGCTGTAGGGTTATAAGACTATGAGGCAGAATGCTAAGAACACATACAATCTGTCTGTAAAATTTCTAGAACATCATGATGTTCATAATGAACTGTTCCGGTCCTGACCAAGTCACATCTGTGCATGCCGGAATCCACATGGGTGGAGCACCTGCCTCTGGTGTCTTTAAACTCCACCCGGGGCCATGATGGCCGCACCAATACTTCCCCACAGGAAGTCTAGTCTTGTTTCTAATGCTCAGATAACCTGCACCATCACCTGGGTTTCTAAAAGCACCCAGAAAACCATGTAGTCTTTCTGTCATATGGTGAACTATTGGTCCATTGTGAGGAGGTCTTCAGGGAGACTGAATGCCTCCTGATTAGTGCAACATCATAGAAACTGCTTCCTGAAGAATACGATGACTATCTGATACCATAGAAAGAAAATAAACTGACATAAACCTGCCTGAATGCAACAGAACCGTCTAGTTCTGCAAAAATTACCCCTCCATGGGTATAGTGATACGGGACTCACTGCCTGAAAACTGAGGTTTAGATTATCATTGCCTGATTGTCTCGAACTTCGATGCTCATCATGGACAGTTGTTCAGAACTTTCTGGATTGCCTTCTTGTTTTCAGTATCTCCGTTCTGCTGCTTACCCAGCATGCCCTGGATCTTCCAGGTGTAGTCGTACCAAGTCTTGATGCGGTTCTGGACTTCTCTGGGGATGTTGTAGGAGTTCATATACTTGACAGTGCTGTCCATACAGGCCCGGTAGTAATTTTCACCCGCTGTTGCTGCTCCGACTACATCTCTCATCTGTGACGGAGAAATCAAACCAAAAACAAGTGAGCCAAGATTAATGTAAGAAAATACTCCCCAAACCAACCCGTCAAAACAGAACCAGAACTCCTAAACAGTTTGTTGTTGGACCAACCTGACCGATCATGATGGAGAAAGCAAACACGCCCACAAAGTAATTGATGAGCTGGAAGCAGATCTCAAAGACAGTTGTTGGGTCTGGCAGTCCGCCGATGGTGATTAGCGTCTTTACAGCGAAGTAGTAACAGCGGATGTAACTGTAAACATGAAATCCTCTCATCACTGACAGGAAGTCCAAAAACAAGCCAGAACATCTTCATTGTGTCTTCGTCTTCATTTGGGTCACGGTAAGCACAAAATAGGCTTAAATCGCTGGAGCTCTAATGCGAGCAGAGACTTAACAACGACTGCTGGATAGGTGTCCAAACATTGTCAGGAAAGCTAAGCTAATGTCTGATTTAGGCCTGTTTTGTGGCTGGAGAAGATCTTCAGGTTTTACTTGATGTGGTGTTTTTACCATCAGCTAAACGGTTAGGAAGAAGATGAAGCTTAGTGTTGTCCCAATACATGCCCCTATACGCTCCCTTTCAGAGACATAGACAGGTATGGGGCATTGCAGGCTAACAAAGAAGCCAAACCAACCCCCATTCCAAAGGGGGGGACCCGTTTGTCCGGTTCAATTTTAATTATTTCTAAGCAAAAACAAGGCTTTGTTGGAATACTGTATAAAACCTGGAACTCAACACTATTAAAGTATTTCTGATATCAGAATCTGATTCTAATATTTCTGTCATTTTTCATTAAGAGAGCTTTGTGGATGGGAAGAGAAACGTCTTTAAACTTGGAAACAAAGTCCAGTGGTTTGATTTTTCATTTTTTTGGCATGCCCCTATACGCTATCACAAATGAACATCTCAGAAACTATCAAAATTTTTATTGTTTCATTCCTCAAACCTTAAGCTAGAGTCAAAGTGGGTTTTTTCAGTGTTAGGCAGAATTGATGAATAAATATCTCTTTATTATAAAAATGGTTTGATGAAGTGTTCGGGTGAAGAAATGTGACCTCATTGTTAATCGTTTGGTCTAATCGCACACATTCAGGAACTCCTGGGTTTCTGTATTTGTCGTAGATATTGGGATGTGTGACCCAATGCTTGAATAACTGAATGAAAAAAGCAGAAGCTCATCGCTGCAGACGGTCTTACGCGTTGCCTCTTCCATCGTAGACCCATTTGGTGGATCCAAGGCCTTCATAGTCGGAGCCCCAGTAGAAGAGACAGGCGTTGATGTGCAGAGAGTACAGCAGGTAGGTAGAGGTCCGAATTACCCTGACACACAACAACAGGTGAAACAATGGGACACGTTTGAAGAAAAGGTACAGCAGGTAACAGCTGCTGGGGTTCCTAAAGGATTTTCCTTCTGGGTATTTAAGCTTTCAGATCATGGTTGCTAATTAAGATCTTCTTGGTTCTTGTGATCTAACTGACATAAAAGCGTCACAGAGCCTTGCAAGAGGTGATTAAATAAGAGTCAAGTGGGCTAAAGGAAAAAGGATAGATGGATGAGTTTTGGATTTCTCTGGTTCCTCACCTGTAGATGTAGGCCTTCTTCATCACGGCCTCCATTCTGTCGTTGAACTCAAAGAACACCATGTACTGGAAGAGAAGCAACACTGAGAAATCTTTATCTGGACATTTTGAACCAAATAAAGCAAAAGGAAATGATCTCACCTTCAGCAGACGAGGGAATCTAAGCAGAGAGTTCACCCCAGTGAAGTAGTATAATATCTCCATGGGAAATAGACTGATGACATCCATCTGGAACCAAACATTAAGCCGTCTGCTCAGTGGATCACAACCAAACTACTAAGAATGCCCTAATTTACCGATTCAGGAGATTTACTTTAAATAGCAATAAGCAAAGAAGATAAAAGAGACGATAGAGACAAACTTGTTCTCACCTTGAACCTCTCAGTGGTCATGTAATGTTCTCTCATGTCCTTTTTATCACACTGTCAATAAAACCAGTTAAACCAGTTAAAGGTGCATGCAATGCAAGGACAGAATGAGAAAGACGTTTTTCTCTGTCTGTTTACGGACCACGATGTCTCCCCCACGGACAAACTGCAGCCTGGGCTGGAAGATGAGGATGTCTGCGATGTAGATGAAGTCACAGGTGTAGTCCATCAGCAGCCACAGGTGGATGTTCTCAGGTGTCTGATAGGGGAACGCCCAGCGGACAGGGATCAGCCACACATTCCAGTTCCAGGCCGCCACCACGAAGAACAGCCAGATGACATAGATCAGATCTGAGGGAGGAAGTGTGGAAAAGCTGAGTTTATTTCAACGCTGTTTGATGGTGGAAACCAACCGGGACACAAACAAGGAGCAGAAACTGGACTGGTCTGGTCATGAAGCAAACAGGAGAGTTCAGTTTTATCTCTCTTAGCAAAGCAGATATTCAATAGAATAAGGAATGTTCTGCTAACTTCATGAACAGAATCATCTTTGATAAAACGACACAATGGAAAACCAACATTTTACTCTGGGACAGAAACAGAATTCCACTGTTACTGAGATGGATTCCAATTAAATTCTATTCAATCTATTTCTATAGCTCCAATTCACAACATGTCATCTCAGGTCACTTTATAGATCCAGATCAACCAGATCATCCAGTCAGATTGATTCAAAGTTTTCTATCTAAGGAAAACCAGCTGATTGCATCGACTCATTGACTCTTCAGCAATCCCTCACACTAAGCATGCTTGTAGCGACAGTGGAGAGGAAAAACTCCCTTTGAACAGGAAGAAACCTCCAGCAGAACCAGGCTCAGTGTGAGCGGCCATCTGCTGAGGCCCACTGGGGTTCAAGGAGACATTCTCTCTTCTCTTTCCTCCTTTCCTACTTTAAATATTCTTACAGTTGACAGCTCGCCTTTCATTGTACCAGAAATGTGCCTGGCCAATGAAAGCTATTCTCACAGTCGGTAAATTTGGCATTCAGTCTGGTAGTTGTCTGTTTCACCTCGACATGGTGGACAACGATTTAACGGAGTGAGTCGTGTAACTGTATTTATACTGGTCCTATACCCAGTTCAGGGTGTCCAGAGGTGGCTGGATCCCTGCAACCTTAAGGTAAGGTATGAAGATATTCTGGAGCTCAGACTGTAGCAGCAGGGAAATCAGAGTAAGAAAACCAGCAGAGAGAGCACCAAAACCAGTTGACCATGTCCCCCTCTGGAGCTAAGTAACCACAGCGGCAGATTGGAGGAGGACAGAGGCCGATCAGAGACGCTCGCTGGGCAGAGAGCGCCAGAGCAGGGAGAGGCTAGCCTCTTGAAGCTAACTGTGGAGGATTAAAAGAGGACGGCTGTACACTGGAGAAGCCCAGCGGGCAGAAAGAATGCCAGAGCGTTCAAGGCAGAATTCCCTACTTCATCCTTTGCCAACAATATTTTGTTTCTTCTGCACTGGGTTTGGCTATGTAAACGCACACAAAAGCGGTCCGTCTACTTCTCAGACGCAGTGGGACTCTTCACCTCTCTCTGCTTGCCTCACTCTGCTTTGCTCTGCATCACCCCAGGGTCGCCCTCTACATTGGGATAACACCTTTAGTGTGCCCTATGCTCCTGTACCCTGCATCACATCCTCCTCCAGACCCTTACTGCCTGAGGAAACACGGATTGACAAGAAATTTGCTTTGTGTCAACTGCAAGTTTTGGTTTGTTCTATACACCCTGATCACACCATCACTATGCAGCCTGCACATCAACTCACTCCTGAATGTGCCTCTACACGGGGATAACGCAGGGATAATCGTTTGCTCCGGTGGTTCCGTGTGAATAAGAGTCAGAGGATCCAGATGAATCAGTTTTCCTCTGGTGTAAAACACATACAAAATGCAGATTTTTAAATATTCATATCTTAAATGTTTTCATTGAGACCCAATAAGAACCAAATGGTTTTCTGAACAAGCTTTGCAAATTCCAAAAAGGTTTTAAAAAAAGCAAAATCAATCTCTGGACTTTGTTTCCCAAGTTTGAAGATGTTTGGCTTCCCATCCAGAAAGCTTTCTCAACTCTAACGTTTGGAGCAGCGTTGACTTCATGGCTTCGCTTTCTGGATGGGAAGCCAAACGTCTTCAAACTTGGAAAATAAAGTCCAGTGTGTTTTTATTTCTGATATTTTGGAATGACTATTATCTGGATGACTGAGAACCTTCACCAGCAAACTGGCAAATAAAGCTCTGATTCCGGTTTTAAAGAATCAGGATTTATCCTTTACCTCATGATTAGTCAGAAAGGTCACCAGAAGCTGAGCCCTGGTTCTGGTTCTGGTTCTGCTAATCAGGCCCAGCTTGACTGAGCACAACCAGACACATTTTGCAATAACAGCAAGCTAAGGGGAATCTTGATGAAGTACGGTCAGGAAGTTCTCACCTGTGAATGGGTCAATGCTGGAGGGAAAGCGATATTCCAGGATAGCTCGCAGCCAGTCAGGCATCGGGGGAAGATGGGGTATTTTCACTGGATGCCCCAGGAGCTCAAACTGGAACAGCTCTTCCTCTTCTTCTGGCGCTGCTGCTTCTTCCTTCTTCTCTTCTTCTGGAGGAGGCGGTGGAGGAGGAGGTGGTGGAGCTTTGCTAGGAGCTGCAGGGACCAGGACTTAAATGTCAGTGGTAGCATTGATAGCTGAGCGTTCAGTTTCAGATCGATTAAACCTTTAACCTCTAACAGGGTTAGAACTTTAAAAGACTTCAAACTTTCTACACAGCAGTAAAGTCTCTTTATCCTTTGGAAATAATCTGGACCCTGCATTCTTCTCTACAGGTTAAATTCAGAACTTTCTAGGCACTGCTTTTGTGACTGGATCTCCAGATAAATAATCTGAATCCAGGGTGACGTACATGCTGAGGGACTCTCCTCCTCAGACTCATCCGGATCCACCAGGCGGTCCTTCTGTCTCTCAGTCCGACCTTTAAAAAGCTTAACCAGCTCATTCAGGCGCTCCTGGATCACAACGCTGCCGATGCTGGCGGCAGAGAGAGGACGCATCCTGCAGGAGCAGAGGATGATGATGAGGATAACAGACAGAGCCGGAGGAGGAATCTATTTTTTTTTTTCGTATTTCTTACTCGTCGTCTGCAGTCAGCAGGTCTCCCTGACTTGACCAGGTCTTCAAATCCACCTTCAGTAGCTCCTCATCATCCTCGCCTGCAGACAGATCAGCTCTGGTGGAGAAAAACGCATCAAGCAGATAATTTATCTTCATCTCCCATAGATTCTCTGACTATACAGGCAGAAAAGAGCTTTGGGAAGTAGGACCTAGAACACCTAGAAGTTTAGTGTAGTTCACCCCAAAATCACATTTATTTTATTGATAAACTGCATAAACTGGATCTATGTGATGCTTTTTTTCTACACTCTGCTTCTTCTAAACATTTTTATGTCATATCCTTTTAGTGAAAAATGCTTCACTTCAAAAGATCTGTTCATGGAGGAGCTTCCAGCTTCTCTATGCTAAGCTTCCATCAGAGGCGGATAATCATGGAAGTAAAACCATGAATAGAGATTAGTTTCAACCATTTAAATGTCCGTCTTTACAGCACAGACTGGGAGAAAATCACTGGGTTAATGCGGACAGGATGAAGGAAAACTAGGCAGGGATTTTATCGGCTCGCCATGCTTCTATAGATAAGCTATGCTAGGTTGGCTGCCTTTTTATGTCATCATGACCTCACTAAACTCCCGCCACTCATCTCAACACGTCGCTGCGGCCCTCAGAGCTTTTATGGGGACAGCGTTATTATTTTATATGGAATTAAACATAGTGTGTCTTTTAATTACTTTGTTAAAGTAGCTGTTCAGTATATAATAAAAAAAAAACAAATCTATACAGATTTATAACTAATTTCACTTTGTGTAGAAAACAACAGAAATAAGGAAGTTAAGTTATAGTAGGATTATTTAAGCATATTTGATTCCTATCGTCTCAATCCTCATCGCCCTGCAGGGAAGCAGCTCAGCCAGTCCAACGATGACCCTGACCACTCCCCTTTCAGAGGCATAGGCCAGTATTGCAGGCTGACCCCTTAGCAATGGAGTGGACCTTCTATTGTTGAGTTTCTATGTTTTCTCAGCCATATCAAGGCTTCGTTGGGCTACTCTATAAAGCTTGGACCTCAACGCTAATCCAGACATTTTTAGTTGAGAAAGATTCCTGGATGGGAAGAAAAATGTCCTGTGGATTGTCTTTTTTCACTTCTTTGGAACATATTAATAGCAAATTTAAACCAGTCACAGTTACAGACACTGCAGAGCAAAGAAAAACGAAGCCTCCGTCTCCTTACAGCTGAAGACTCACTATGTCCCCATGATGACGGAAACATTGAGGCACATGACGTCAGCCAGTATGGCGGAGCAGGGACCCCCCCCTGAAGCCCCCCTGAAGCCAGGCTTTCATTATTTAATCATTCTCTATGCAGACGACTCTGTAATTTACATGTTCTTATGTTCATATTTCCGACAGCTGGACTTTTAGCTTGTCCCTAAATTAAATGCTGTTAACAGGGTAACAATCCTCTCATCCTCCACTTTGCCATTTTTCCAAGAAGACAAACACAACCGGTCTGTCATCCCAGGGACCGGTCTGTCATCCCAGGGACCGGTCTGTCATCCCAGGGACCGGTCTGTCATCCCAGGGACCGGTCTGTCATCCCAGGGACCGGTCTCTCATCCCAGGGACCGGTCTCTCATCCCAGGGACCGGTCTGTCATCCCAGGGACCGGTCTCTCATCCCAGGGACCGGTCTCTCATCCCAGGGACCGGTCTCTCATCCCAGGGACCGGTCTGTCATCCCAGGGACCGGTCTGTCATCCCAGGGACCGGTCTGTCATCCCAGGGACCGGTCTCTCATCCCAGGGACCGGTCTCTCATCCCAGGGACCGGTCTCTCATCCCAGGGACCGGTCTCTCATCCCAGGGACCGGTCTGTCATCCCAGGGACCGGTCTCTCATCCCAGGGACCGGTCTGTCATCCCAGGGACCGGTCTGTCATCCCAGGGACCGGTCTGTCATCCCAGGGACCGGTCTGTCATCCCAGGGACCGGTCTCTCATCCCAGGGACCGGTCTGTCATCCCAGGGACCGGTCTGTCATCCCAGGGACCGGTCTCTCATCCCAGGGACCGGTCTCTCATCCCAGGGACCGGTCTCTCATCCCAGGGACCGGTCTGTCATCCCAGGGACCGGTCTGTCATCCCAGGGACCGGTCTCTCATCCCAGGGACCGGTCTGTCATCCCAGGGACCGGTCTCTCATCCCAGGGACCGGTCTCTCATCCCAGGGACCGGTCTCTCATCCCAGGGACCGGTCTGTCATCCCAGGGACCGGTCTCTCATCCCAGGGACCGGTCTGTCATCCCAGGGACCGGTCTGTCATCCCAGGGACCGGTCTGTCATCCCAGGGACCGGTCTCTCATCCCAGGGACCGGTCTCTCATCCCAGGGACCGGTCTCTCATCCCAGGGACCGGTCTGTCATCCCAGGGACCGGTCTCTCATCCCAGGGACCGGTCTCTCATCCCAGGGACCGGTCTCTCATCCCAGGGACCGGTCTCTCATCCCAGGGACCGGTCTCTCATCCCAGGGACCGGTCTGTCATCCCAGGGACCGGTCTCTCATCCCAGGGACCGGTCTGTCATCCCAGGGACCGGTCTCTCATCCCAGGGACCGGTCTGTCATCCCAGGGACCGGTCTCTCATCCCAGGGACCGGTCTGTCATCCCAGGGACCGGTCTCTCATCGCAGGGACCGGTCTCTCATCCCAGGGACCGGTCTCTCATCCCAGGGACCGGTCTGTCATCCCAGGGACCGGTCTCTCATCCCAGGGACCGGTCTGTCATCCCAGGGACCGGTCTGTCATCCCAGGGACCGGTCTCTCATCCCAGGGACCGGTCTCTCATCCCAGGGACCGGTCTGTCATCCCAGGGACCGGTCTCTCATCCCAGGGACCGGTCTGTCATCCCAGGGACCGGTCTCTCATCCCAGGGACCGGTCTCTCATCCCAGGGACCGGTCTCTCATCCCAGGGACCGGTCTGTCATCCCAGGGACCGGTCTCTCATCCCAGGGGACCGGTCTGTCATCCCAGGGACCGGTCTGTCATCCCAGGGACCGGTCTGTCATCCCAGGGACCGGTCTCTCATCCCAGGGACCGGTCTCTCATCCCAGGGACCGGTCTCTCATCCCAGGGACCGGTCTGTCATCCCAGGGACCGGTCTCTCATCCCAGGGACCGGTCTCTCATCCCAGGGACCGGTCTCTCATCCCAGGGACCGGTCTCTCATCCCAGGGACCGGTCTCTCATCCCAGGGACCGGTCTCTCATCCCAGGGACCGGTCTGTCATCCCAGGGACCGGTCTCTCATCCCAGGGACCGGTCTGTCATCCCAGGGACCGGTCTCTCATCCCAGGGACCGGTCTGTCATCCCAGGGACCGGTCTCTCATCCCAGGGACCGGTCTGTCATCCCAGGGACCGGTCTGTCATCCCAGGGACCGGTCTCTCATCCCAGGGACCGGTCTGTCATCCCAGGGACCGGTCTCTCATCGCAGGGACCGGTCTCTCATCCCAGGGACCGGTCTGTCATCCCAGGGACCGGTCTGTCATCCCAGGGACCGGTCTCTCATCCCAGGGACCGGTCTGTCATCCCAGGGACCGGTCTCTCATCCCAGGGACCGGTCTCTCATCCCAGGGACCGGTCTCTCATCCCAGGGACCGGTCTCTCATCCCAGGGACCGGTCTGTCATCCCAGGGACCGGTCTGTCATCCCAGGGACCGGTCTGTCATCCCAGGGACCGGTCTCTCATCCCAGGGACCGGTCTCTCATCCCAGGGACCGGTCTGTCATCCCAGGGACCGGTCTGTCATCCCAGGGACCGGTCTGTCATCCCAGGGACCGGTCTGTCATCCCAGGGACCGGTCTGTCATCCCAGGGACCGGTCTGTCATCCCAGGGACCGGTCTCTCATCCCAGGGACCGGTCTGTCATCCCAGGGACCGGTCTGTCATCCCAGGGACCGGTCTCTCATCCCAGGGACCGGTCTGTCATCCCAGGGACCGGTCTCTCATCCCAGGGACCGGTCTGTCATCCCAGGGACCGGTCTCTCATCCCAGGGACCGGTCTGTCATCCCAGGGACCGGTCTGTCATCCCAGGGACCGGTCTGTCATCCCAGGGACCGGTCTCTCATCCCAGGGACCGGTCTGTCATCCCAGGGACCGGTCTGTCATCCCAGGGACCGGTCTGTCATCCCAGGGACCGGTCTGTCATCCCAGGGACCGGTCTGTCATCCCAGGGACCGGTCTCTCATCCCAGGGACCGGTCTGTCATCCCAGGGACCGGTCTGTCATCCCAGGGACCGGTCTCTCATCCCAGGGACCGGTCTGTCATCCCAGGGACCGGTCTGTCATCCCAGGGACCGGTCTGTCATCCCAGGGACCGGTCTGTCATCCCAGGGACCGGTCTCTCATCCCAGGGACCGGTCTGTCATCCCAGGGACCGGTCTCTCATCCCAGGGACCGGTCTGTCATCCCAGGGACCGGTCTGTCATCCCAGGGACCGGTCTCTCATCCCAGGGACCGGTCTCTCATCCCAGGGACCGGTCTGTCATCCCAGGGACCGGTCTCTCATCCCAGGGACCGGTCTGTCATCCCAGGGACCGGTCTGTCATCCCAGGGACCGGTCTGTCATCCCAGGGACCGGTCTCTCATCCCAGGGACCGGTCTGTCATCCCAGGGACCGGTCTGTCATCCCAGGGACCGGTCTGTCATCCCAGGGACCGGTCTGTCATCCCAGGGACCGGTCTGTCATCCCAGGGACCGGTCTCTCATCCCAGGGACCGGTCTGTCATCCCAGGGACCGGTCTGTCATCCCAGGGACCGGTCTGTCATCCCAGGGACCGGTCTGTCATCCCAGGGACCGGTCTGTCATCCCAGGGACCGGTCTGTCATCCCAGGGACCGGTCTCTCATCCCAGGGACCGGTCTCTCATCCCAGGGACCGGTCTGTCATCCCAGGGACCGGTCTCTCATCCCAGGGACCGGTCTGTCATCCCAGGGACCGGTCTCTCATCCCAGGGACCGGTCTGTCATCCCAGGGACCGGTCTCTCATCCCAGGGACCGGTCTGTCATCCCAGGGACCGGTCTGTCATCCCAGGGACCGGTCTGTCATCCCAGGGACCGGTCTGTCATCCCAGGGACCGGTCTCTCATCCCAGGGACCGGTCTGTCATCCCAGGGACCGGTCTGTCATCCCAGGGACCGGTCTGTCATCCCAGGGACCGGTCTGTCATCCCAGGGACCGGTCTGTCATCCCAGGGACCGGTCTGTCATCCCAGGGACCGGTCTCTCATCCCAGGGACCGGTCTGTCATCCCAGGGACCGGTCTGTCATCCCAGGGACCGGTCTCTCATCCCAGGGACCGGTCTGTCATCCCAGGGACCGGTCTCTCATCCCAGGGACCGGTCTGTCATCCCAGGGACCGGTCTCTCATCCCAGGGACCGGTCTGTCATCCCAGGGACCGGTCTCTCATCCCAGGGACCGGTCTGTCATCCCAGGGACCGGTCTCTCATCCCAGGGACCGGTCTGTCATCCCAGGGACCGGTCTGTCATCCCAGGGACCGGTCTGTCATCCCAGGGACCGGTCTGTCATCCCAGGGACCGGTCTGTCATCCCAGGGACCGGTCTGTCATCCCAGGGACCGGTCTGTCATCCCAGGGACCGGTCTGTCATCCCAGGGACCGGTCTGTCATCCCAGGGACCGGTCTCTCATCCCAGGGACCGGTCTGTCATCCCAGGGACCGGTCTGTCATCCCAGGGACCGGTCTGTCATCCCAGGGACCGGTCTGTCATCCCAGGGACCGGTCTCTCATCCCAGGGACCGGTCTGTCATCCCAGGGACCGGTCTGTCATCCCAGGGACCGGTTCTGTCATCCCAGGGACCGTCTCTCATCCCAGGGATCATGGAACGGATGCCATGATACTTCAATCTTCATTGATAAGGGAACAGGTGTAATCTAAGGTTCTGGTTATTCTCAGTTTTCTTCAGTCAACCAAACAGTCTGACCAGGTCCAGCTTTACTACTCACAGAAATATTCGTGCCTCTTCTGATCTTTGGAAATTCTCTGTTTTCCGTCTCCTTTTGTCATTTATGGGGTCTTTAATCTTGTTAACATATAACTTCTTCCCAATGATAGTGACCCATAGATGATCCTGTCATAAATTCATGTCCTTGGCATGAATGATCGCCTTCTTTTACTCTGACGCCCTCAGTAAACCTATGAAACATTTACCTGCACCTGCACCGGCGCACCCCTTGAGGCCAGCCTGGCTGTTACCCTACTCTGGGACCATCAGAGTGTTGGCCTCGGGTTCTGGGTGTGTTATTCCGGGAGTTCAGGTGTGTCCGTGTACCCCTCCATGACCCGCTCCTTCACCATGGAACTTCAGCTTCTGCAGCTCTCGAGAGAGGACCACAAAACAAGGTTGGTGCTCTCAGGGAATGTCGGCGAACCGCAGGGACGGCGTGAATCAAGAACACTGATCTAGCGTCAGACCAGTCTGCTGCTTCATCAGGGACCGTCTACAGCAAACACTTCTGAAGCACTGGGAGCTTTTTAAGCCCCAGGAGATTTTTAATCTGATAAAGTTAAAAAATGATCAAATCCAAGTTAAGTAATTTACCTTATGATTTGGTTTTAGACACACATTAGAATTAAGTCAATCACCACTGATCATCAATTCAGCGTTTCCTTTTTACATCAGTAACTAGTAACAATATCTCCTCAAAAACAATAAAAATATAAACCAATCAGGGAAGCACTGGTTCTGTCATACCAGGGAACGGTCTGTCAAACTGGGAAACGGTCTTATCCAGGACCGGTGTATCCCAGGGAACGGTCTCTCATCCAGGGACGGTCATGTAATCCAGGCCGTTCTTCATCCCAGGACGGTCTGTCATCCCAGGGACGCGGTCTCTCATCCCAGGGACCGGTCTGTCATCCCAGGGACCGGTCTCTCATCCCAGGGACCGGTCCTGTCATCCCAGGGACCGGTCTCTCATCCCAGGGACCGGTCTGTCATCCCAGGGACCGGTCTCTCATCCCAGGGACCGGTCTGTCATCCCAGGGACCGGTCTCTCATCCCAGGGACCGGTCTGTCATCCCAGGGACCGGTCTGTCATCCCAGGGACCGGTCTGTCATCCCAGGGACCGGTCTGTCATCCCAGGGACCGGTCTGTCATCCCAGGGACCGGTCTGTCATCCCAGGGACCGGTCTGTCATCCCAGGGACCGGTCTGTCATCCCAGGGACCGGTCTGTCATCCCAGGGACCGGTCTCTCATCCCAGGGACCGGTCTGTCATCCCAGGGACCGTCCCCAGGGACCGGTCTGTCATCCCAGGGACCGGTCTGTCATCCCAGGGGACCGGTCTGTCATCCCAGGGACCGGTCTCTCATCCCAGGGACCGGTCTGTCATCCCAGGGACCGGTCTGTCATCCCAGGGACCGGTCTGTCATCCCAGGGACCGGTCTCTCATCCCAGGGATCATGGAACTGGATGCCATGATTAACTTAACAATCTTCAGTTGATAAGAGGAACAAGGTGAATCTAAGGTTTCTGGTTTTATTCATCAGTTTTCTTCAGATCAACCAGAACAGTTCTGAACCAGAGGTCCAGCTTTACTACTACAGAAATATTTCTGCCTTCTTCTGATCTTTTTGGAAAGTTCTCTGTTTTCTCTTCCTTTTTGTCATTTTATGGGTTCTTTAATTTGTTTTAAATCATTATTTAAACTTTTCTTTCAATGATATGTGACCCATAGATGATCCTGTCAATAAATTCATGTCTTTGGCATGAAATGATCGCCTTTCGTTTTACTCTGAACGCCCTCATGTATAAACCTATGAAACATTTTACCTGCACCTGCAACGGCGCCCCCTTGAGGCCAGCCTGCTGTTACCTGATCTCTGGGACCATCAGAGTGTTGGCCTCGGGTTCTGGGGTGGTGATTATTTGCGGGATGTTCAGGTTGTGTCCGTGTAGCCCCTCCTGACCCGCCACCTTCACCTTGGAAGCTTCAGCTTTCCTGCAGCTCTCTGAGGAGCAGACCACAAAACAAGTGTTGGTGCTTCAGGGAATGTCGGCGAACCGCAGAGACGGCGTGAAATCAGAGAAACACTGGATCTGAGCTGTTCAGACCATCTGCTGCTTCATCAAACCTCTACAGCAAACACTTCTGAAGCACTGGGAGCTTTTTAAGCCTCCAGGAGATTTTTAATCTGATAAAATGTTTAAAAAATGATCAAATGCAAGTTAAAGTAATTTACCTTTTATGATTTGGTTTATAGACACAGCATTAGAATATAAAATGTCTCAATATCATCCACTGATCTCATCTAATTCAGCTGTTTCCTTCTTTTACATCAGTTAAACTATTAACAATAATCTCCTCAAAAAACAATAAAAATATAAAAACCAGATGAAAGGATGACAGGCACTCTGGATTTTCTCAGATAGATTTATTCCAACAGGAAGGAAATCTGGGGAAATATCACAGAAAAGCTGTAGAGAAGCTGAAGGAAAACAAAATCAATTTAATAAAGAAAGAATTAATTAAACTACAGGCAGTTTTAGAATGACTGAGAGGATCTAGGAACGGGGGGGGGGGGGGGGGGGGTCCATAGATTATTCCTAATGAACGCAAAATTCTGTTTATTGAATTTATTAAATGTTTAAAGAGATTTAAAGACGCCAAAAGCTGCAGAAACATCTTAGTTTTACAATTCAATAAAAAGTCACTCTTTATTTATGCCAAATTACATTTTTCCAAACTTCTAGTCTGGGTTTATATTTCTTTATTTTTTTAAACCTGATGTCATTCAAAACTAATTTGTTTTTTGTTGTCAAAAAGTTAAACTACTTGAAAATCCTTGATCCATTTATGGTCCATATTTACCGTCTGCTTGAGTTTTCACAGTTTCCATCTTATTATCATGAAAGGTGTTCCACTTGGTCCCATCCTAAGACCCTGTTTTTTTAAATTAAATAATCTTGAACTTAATTAATTTTGAAAGTATATTGTACATCTAGAGTTCATTTTTGGATTAAATTTGTTTAACAGAAACTTCTTTAAGTAACAAATATGTATGTCCTTAGGTTTTGTTAATTTCTAAACTTGGTATTCCTCATTATGAATGATGTCGGTGTGTGTAATAATTGTAATTTGGGGATCAATAATATAATTTGTCAGTAAGTTTATCTTTCATATTGAAGCTGAAACGTGTCAAAAGGTTCATAAGAAAAAAACAGTGTTTTGGAATATTTTTAATCAAATACCGAATACTTTACTTAATGACATAACTTTTCTCTGTTTAACCCTGTAATGCCAAATGTATCATATTTGATACATACGGTTTCTAAAATGTTTTGCGTCTGACACCTTTTGCATAATTTATTGGTAAAAACTTTCCTCAAAATCCTATTGTACACAATCAGATATACCTGATAACAGATGGCAGAAGACTACACAAAAAATAATATTGACTTAATAAATAATTAATATCAAAAATGTATTTCTGTTTTTTCTTTTTAAATATTTTGTTAAAAGGCCAAATAAGGACTTCAAACCAAAAAAAAAGTAATTTTCTGTTTTGTTTTATTCTTGGATCGGGCTTTAAAGGGTTAATTATTCTCTATGCAGATGACGTTGTTATTTACATGTTCTCATGGAAGTTCACTCTGCCGACAGCTTGACGTTTAGCTTGCATCCAAATGAAACTTGATTAACAGGGAAACGTAATCCTCTCATCCACAGGAGGAGCCCAGATTCCCGGTGCTTCAAACACGGCGCCGTGTTTTTAGAGAAGTTATTCCAAACCTCATTATGGTCAAATCCCAGGGATGCGGCTTCAAAAGCTGGATCTGGATCTTTTTCCTGTTGGAAATATTTTTGGGATCATGAAGACGGCCTTCTTTATTCTGCTAAATCAATTCTTTGACAATTAAAAGAAATACAGATTGACTAATCTGTGGCATTTAAAAGGTAAATCCAGCCTGTGGACGACCTTCAGCTCCTGAAGGACCTGAACTGTTTCAGAGATCAGACTGTTGATTCATCTGACATCGCTTTGCAAGTTATATTTAGCTTTTCACATCAGTCTCAGGAGCATTAGAGACTGTTTGACTGTTTGATGTAAGACTTTGGCTGCAGATTGTTCTGAAACAGCTTTCTGCTTATGGTCTAAACATATGCAATGATCCTAACCACTTTCTATACTTCACCATCTACATGATCTTCTTAAGCCTTCGGTCTCAGATATAAAGTTTTATTCTTTTAGTTTACTCATTTTAATCATTATGAATCATTTTAATCATATTTTATTCCTTTAAAAGTCATGTTTGTGCCTTTTTGTCTGCAGCAGATTCCTCCTGGATTTTTTTAAAACGACGCACTAGTTTGTTAAAGGAGCAGAAACATGACAGGAAGTTTTCTCCGTTTTTGATCCACTGTGTCCATGAGCAACAGTCGCGATGCTGCAGAGTCAACGGCTCAGAACCAACAGAAGAAAAGATGATCTGGTCAGCTTTACTGCCAACCTCATTGTGAAGCTTTACTACCAACCTCATTGTGAAGCTTTACTGCCAACCTCATTGTGAAGCTTTACTGCCAGCCTCATTGTGAAGCTTTACTACCAGCCTCATTGGGAAGCTTTACTACCAACCTCATTGTGAAGCTTTACTGCCAGCCTCATTGTGAAGCTTTACTGCCAGCCTCATTGTGAAGCTTTACTGCCAGCCTCATTGTGAAGCTTTACTACCAACCTCATTGTGAAGCTTTACTGCCAGCCTCATTGTGAAGCTTTACTACCAGCCTCATTGTGAAGCTTTACTACCAACCTCATTGTGAAGCTTTACTGCCAACCTCATTGTGAAGCTTTACTGCCAGCCTCATTGTGAAGCTTTACTGCCAGCCTCATTGTGAAGCTTTACTACCAGCCTCATTGTGAAGCTTTACTGCCAGCCTCATTGTGAAGCTTTACTGCCAGCCTCATTGTGAAGCTTTACTGCCAGCCTCATTGTGAAGCTTTACTACCAGCCTCATTGTGAAGCTTTACTGCCAGCCTCATTGTGAAGCTTTACTGCCAGCCTCATTGTGAAGCTTTACTACCAGCCTCATTGTGAAGCTTTACTACCAGCCTCATTGTGAAGCTTTACTGCCAGCCTCATTGTGAAGCTTTACTGCCAGCCTCATTGTGAAGCTTTACTGCCAACCTCATTGTGAAGCTTTACTGCCAGCCTCATTGTGAAGCTTTACTACCAGCCTCATTGTGAAGCTTTACTACCAGCCTCATTGTGAAGCTTTACTGCCAGCCTCATTGTGAAGCTTTACTGCCAGCCTCATTGTGAAGCTTTACTGCCAGCCTCATTGTGAAGCTTTACTACCAGCCTCATTGTGAAGCTTTACTACCAGCCTCATTGTGAAGCTTTACTGCCAGCCTCATGGTGAAGCTTTACTGCCAGCCTCATTGTGAAGCTTTACTACCAGCCTCATTGTGAAGCTTTACTACCAGCCTCATTGTGAAGCTTTACTACCAGCCTCATTGTGAAGCTTTACTACCAGCCTCATTGTGAAGCTTTACTGCCAACCTCATTGTGAAGCTTTACTGCCAGCCTCATGGTGAAGCTTTACTGCCAGCCTCATTGTGAAGCTTTACTGCCAACCTCATTGTGAAGCTTTACTGCCAGCCTCATGGTGAAGCTTTACTGCCAGCCTCATTGTGAAGCTTTACTGCCAGCCTCATGGTGAAGCTTTACTACCAGCCTCATTGTGAAGCTTTACTACCAGCCTCATTGTGAAGCTTTACTACCAGCCTCATTGTGAAGCTTTACTGCCAGCCTCATTGTGAAGCTTTACTACCAACCTCATTGTGAAGCTTTACTGCCAGCCTCATGGTGAAGCTTTACTACCAGCCTCATTGTGAAGCTTTACTACCAGCCTCATTGTGAAGCTTTACTGCCAGCCTCATGGTGAAGCTTTACTGCCAGCCTCATTGTGAAGCTTTACTGCCAGCCTCATTGTGAAGCTTTACTGCCAACCTCATGGTGAAGCTTTACTGCCAGCCTCATTGTGAAGCTTTACTACCAACCTCATTGTGAAGCTTTACTGCCAGCCTCATGGTGAAGCTTTACTGCCAGCCTCATGGTGAAGCTTTACTGCCAGCCTCATTGTGAAGCTTTACTACCAACCTCATTGTGAAGCTTTACTGCCAGCCTCATGGTGAAGCTTTACTGCCAGCCTCATGGTGAAGCTTTACTGCCAGCCTCATTGTGAAGCTTTACTACCAACCTCATTGTGAAGCTTTACTGCCAGCCTCATGGTGAAGCTTTACTACCAGCCTCATTGTGAAGCTTTACTACCAGCCTCATTGTGAAGCTTTACTACCAGCCTCATTGTGAAGCTTTACTGCCAGCCTCATGGTGAAGCTTTACTACCAACCTCATTGTGAAGCTTTACTACCAGCCTCATTGTGAAGCTTTACTACCAACCTCATTGTGAAGCTTTACTACCAGCCTCATTGTGAAGCTTTACTACCAGCTTCATGGTGAAGCTTTACTACCAGCCTCATTGTGAAGCTTTACTACCAGCCTCATTGTGAAGCTTTACTACCAGCCTCATTGTGAAGCTTTACTGCCAGCCTCATTGTGAAGCTTTACTACCAGCCTCATTGTGAAGCTTTACTGCCAGCCTCATTGTGAAGCTTTACTACCAGCCTCATGGTGAAGCTTTATTGCCAGCCTCATTGTGAAGCTTTACTACCAGCCTTATGGTGAAGCTTTACTGCCAGCCTCATTGTGAAGCTTTACTACCAGCCTCATTGTGAAGCTTTACTGCCAGCCTCATGGTGAAGCTTTACTGCCAGCCTCATGGTGAAGCTTTACTGCCAGCCTCATTGTGAAGCTTTACTACCAGCCTCATTGTGAAGCTTTACTGCCAGCCTCATTGTGAAGCTTTACTACCAACCTCATTGTGAAGCTTTACTACCAGCCTCATTGTGAAGCTTTACTACCAGCCTCATTGTGAAGCTTTACTACCAACCTCATTGTGAAGCTCTACTACCAGCCTCATGGTGAAGCTTTACTGCCAGCCTCATGGTGAAGCTTTACTACCAGCCTCATTGTGAAGCTTTACTGCCAGCCTCATTGTGAAGCTTTACTACCAACCTCATGGTGAAGCTTTACTACCAGCCTCATTGTGAAGCTTTACTACCAGCCTCATTGTGAAGCTTTACTACCAACCTCATTGTGAAGCTTTCCTACCAACCTCATTGTGAAGCTTTACTGCCAGCCTCATTGTGAAGCTTTACTACCAGCCTCATGGTGAAGCTTTACTACCAGCCTCATTGTGAAGCTTTACTACCAACCTCATTGTGAAGCTTTACTACTAGCCTCATTGTGAAGCTTTACTACCAGCCTCATTGTGAAGCTTTACTGCCAGCCTCATTGTGAAGCTTTACTACCAACCTCATTGTGAAGCTTTACTACCAGCCTCATTGTGAAGCTTTACTGCCAGCCTCATTGTGAAGCTTTACTACCAGCCTCATTGTGAAGCTTTACTACCAGCCTCATTGTGAAGCTTTACTACCAACCTCATTGTGAAGCTTTACTACCAGCCTCATGGTGAAGCTTTACTGCCAGCCTCATTGTGAAGCTTTACTACCAGCCTCACTGTGAAGCTTTACTACCAGCCTCATTGTGAAGCTTTACTGCCAACCTCATTGTGAAGCTTTACTACCAACCTCATTGTGAAGCTTTACTGCCAGCCTCATTGTGAAGCTTTACTACCAGCCTCATTGTGAAGCTTTACTGCCAGCCTCATTGTGAAGCTTTACTGCCAGCCTCATTGTGAAGCTTTACTACCAGCCTCATTGTGAAGCTTTACTACCAGCCTCATTGCGAAGCTTTACTGCCAGCCTCATGGTGAAGCTTTACTGCCAGCCTCATTGTGAAGCTTTACTGCCAGCCTCATTGTGAAGCTTTACTGCCAGCCTCATGGTGAAGCTTTACTACCAACCTCATTGTGAAGCTTTACTACCAGCCTCATTGTGAAGCTTTACTACCAACCTCATTGTGAAGCTTTACTAGCAGCCTCATTGTGAAGCTTTGCTGCCAGCCTCATTGTGAAGCTTTACTGCCAGCCTCATTGTGAAGCTTTACTACCAACCTCATTGTGAAGCTTTACTACCAGCCTCATTATGAAGCTTTACTACCAGCCTCATTGTGAAGCTTTACTGCCAGCCTCATTGTGAAGCTTTACTGCCAGCCTCATTGTGAAGCTTTACTACCAACCTCATTGTGAAGCTTTACTACCAGCCTCATGGTGAAGCTTTACTACCAGCCTCATTGTGAAGCTTTACTGCCAGCCTCATTGTGAAGCTTTACTGCCAGCCTCATTGTGAAGCTTTACTACCAACCTCATTGTGAAGCTTTACTGCCAGCCTCATTGTGAAGCTTTACTGCCAGCCTCATTGTGAAGCTTTACTACCAACCTCATTGTGAAGCTTTACTGCCAGCCTCATTGTGAAGCTTTACTGCCAGCCTCATTGTGAAGCTTTACTACCAACCTCATTGTGAAGCTTTACTACCAGCCTCATGGTGAAGCATTACTACCAGCCTCATGGTGAGGCTTTACTACCAGCCTCTTTGTGAAGCTTTACTACCAGCCTCATTGTGAAGCTTTACTGCCAGCCTCATTGTGAAGCTTTACTGCCAGCCTCATTGTGAAGCTTTACTACCAACCTCATTGTGAAGCTTTACTACCAGCCTCATTGTGAAGCTTTACTACCAGCCTCATTGTGAAGCTTTACCTCCAGCCTCATTGTGAAGCTTTACTGCCAGCCTCATTGTGAAGCTTTACTACCAACCTCATTGTGAAGCTTTACTACCAGCCTCATGGTGAAGCTTTACTACCAGCCTCATGGTGAGGCTTTACTACCAGCCTCTTTGTGAAGCTTTACTACCAGCCTCATTGTGAAGCTTTACTGCCAGCCTCATTGTGAAGCTTTACTGCCAGCCTCATTGTGAAGCTTTACTACCAACCTCATTGTGAAGCTTTACTACCAGCCTCATGGTGAAGCTTTACTACCAGCCTCATTGTGAAGCTTTACTACCAGCCTCATTGTGAAGCTTTACTACCAGCCTCATTGTGAAGCTTTACTGCCAGCCTCATTGTGAAGCTTTACTACCAACCTCATTGTGAAGCTTTACTACCAGCCTCATGGTGAAGCTTTACTACCAGCCTCATTGTGAAGCTTTACTACCAGCCTCATTGTGAAGCTTTACTACCAGCCTCATGGTGAAGCTTTACTACCAGCCTCATGGTGAGGCTTTACTGCCAGCCTCATTGTGAAGCTTTACTACCAGCCTCACTGTGAAGCTTTACTACCAGCCTCATTGTGAAGGCACTTCTTTTAGGGATCTAAAAGCAGCGGCAGGAAGTGCAGGATTGTGCAGCAGTTTGGTGCATTTATAGCATAAAAAGTTAAACATCAGACAGCTGATTGGATGAACAGGAATAACTTTTTTACTGACATTCTGTAGGTTTGACCAAGCATGCGATAAAACCTGATTATTCCCATAAATATCCCATAAACACTTGAAGGTCTGTCAGAACCTGCAGTTCTGTAGAGTTTGGACATATTTATCTTTAAAAAAAAAACAATAACAACAAAGGACTGACTGAGATGAATAAATAAATTGAACTTTATTGATCTCACAGTGGATAAATTAACTCATATGCATATAACCCATCCCCTTGGGGAGCAGTGGGCTGCCACTGTGCAGCACCCAGGGAGCAATCGGGGGTTAAGAGTGGGTTTCTACCTCACAACCTCAGGATTCTAAGTCCTATGCCCTAACCACTAGGCCACCAATCCCCCTAAGATGTTGGCCTCAGTCTATAAAATAAATGTTTGTTTAAATTGGTGTCACACCGATACTGATACCAGTATCGGGGGTGCCCCGATCCAGCACTAAAATGGTGCCATCGGTATCGGCGAGTACCAACCAATAGGGCACCGGTACCATTCTGAGAGCCAAAAGTTTCTTCACCTATTGTCACCCATTCCAGGTAGGCAATAAAAAGTTCTACTGGATTCACTGTTTTAGTCTTTTTCCTGCTTCACAAAGGAAGGCAGCAGCTTGAAGCCATGATGGTGATTATTTAACATCCCAGTAATCTGCAGTTCTTCATATAAACACACATTCATTTCAAACAGATGGTAGCGGCAGCTACTGCACAGCCAGGTATCGGGTATCTGGGCCAGAAATACGGCATCAGTTCAACACTCGTTTACATAAATCCAAACGTCTCCTAATAAAAAAACAAATTTTATTGATTAAATGAATACAGAGAGGTTGATCATCCTTTCCTCCATCATGGACCCGCACAGGAAGGGTCGGGCAAAGGTTGGCTAACATCTCCTCGATCCAGACATATTGGACACAACCTATTTAGACATTTAGCTTCAGGTAAAACATCCGGCACAGCTTCTTCCCTCAGGCTGTCTCTCTAATGGACGTTTGACAGAAGATGGGTCTCTTAACAATAATAGAGTCAAAACTGTAAATCTGCAAATTTACATTAGAGACACTTTTATCCTCGTTTTCCTTTTAAATATTTGAAATCATATGTCTTCAATTAGAGCGAAGTGAAACTGAAGTCGAATCCTTTGGCTCTGTCCTAATGTCCAACAGAGGCGGAGATGATGGACCTTCTCTCTACTTCAACCATCCCTGTCTCCATAGTAACAGATGTGAGACTCATCTGTTGCTTCTGCGACTAAGATATTCACATCTTCAGACCAAATAGAGTCAGTTTAACAGAAAGCTAGCCTTTTCATCTTCATAAAGTTTATTTCTATCGAGTAATTGGGTGGGGTTGGGTTCTCCTTACCCCACCCTTCACGGATCTTCAGGGAAGAACTTTGTGGGGAAAACAAGTTGAAACAGAACCTCAGCCGCCTGAACGCTACAGGTAGATCATTTGCTGATGGACACCATTCCAGCTGCTTCTGTCTTTCTCTAACATTATTTGGTTTTTTATTGTTTTATTTCTCTGTGATTTATTCAATTGACAATAAAATATTCATTGTTTATATAATTTACTGAATTTATGTTTTTTATGTCAATAAAAATTCCCAAATACAATCAAATCCAAAGCACCTTCAACTCATGAAACTACAGGAATAAGTTCGGTTCTGATTAGTCCAGCTTCTCAGAGCAGGAGGCTGTCTGATGTGCATTCCAGTTAAATGGCCACCGGAGGTTACTGCATGTGGTAGAGGGGAAAGTCTGGAGCGGATCAGCTTCCAGGGAGCTGCAGCAGCTGCATTTGGCACTTTATAGGCTGGAGCTGCAGACTGGGTGCATCAGGGTTCTGGGGAGCTCTGCTGCTGGGTGGAGCGGTTAAGGCTGCTAAGGAAGCTGGGAAGAGTGAAACGGCTGGTGATGCTGCTGCAGTGCTGCTGCGCCTGCTTTGGGAACTGCCACAGCTGCTGGGTGAGCTCATTGAGCCCTTTGCAGGGGTTCAGCATGGACAGCGTGGCTGGCGTTAGGTCATGCTCATGCATTAGCTTCCTGCAGCGCTCCATGCAATCTGCTGCAAACGGGAACCGAAGCAGGAAAGTCTTTATGGGAGCACAGCTGCTGAAAACTGGATGGAGAAACATCAATAAGATCATCTGAAACAGGTATTTGTCCATTTAACGACCAGCGGGAACCACAGAGTGAACTAAGACTGGACCAACACCAACATAACATCACTGGCACTTTTTGGTCAAAGGTTTTTTTTGCTCTCACCTCCGGTTCCACCTGCTGCTGCTTCTTCTGCAGATGCTGCCGCAGCTTCGCTCTGAGAAGAGAAGAAGATGTGGCTGATTGGAGCTCTGAACAAAAACCATCCCTCAGAGGCACGTTGACGAAAGTTTGATTTCAGAGGTGGGGGGGACGCAGGTATTTTCTAATATAACTAACCAGCATGTTTGACCATCAAATCACATTCAGTGGCAATGAGCTTCTCAGGAGTGACAGCGGTTAAAGCCAATCACACAAGAAAAGACGGCGCCCCAATCAGGAGCTTGTGGGCGGCGGTGGGCCAATCAGGAGCTTGTGGGCGGCCTAAACTCAGGGAAGCGAGCTCAGGGAAGCGAGCTCAGATTGAGCTGCGGTTATCTGCATGGTCGGAGTACAGATGTCTGTGTACGGTAGCCTAACATTGTTCTTGGACAATAGAGGGGACCTTAACGGACATTTGAAAAAGTGCAGAGGCAGGATGTCTCCATTGCTTTTGCTACAGTAAACCAAAACAAAGGGAATCAGAACTTAAAATAAATCAAATGGGACAAGATTTAATGAAATCTTAGATGGATCCTGCAGGGTTTTTCCAGAACTTTCTGTGAGAGGATCTTCAAATCTCAAACAAGAACTAACTAAAAACTTTCATCAGGCTGCTCAGGTTCTGGTTCTGACTCTTTAGGAAACACTCTTCATGTTGCAAGAGGACAGATAAGTCAGATGTTTATGGAAAGTCACCTGCTCTGTGGAGGGGGGTGGTGGTTCTGGCTGCTGGTTTATAGGACTCTCCAGGTCTTTCCTCTCTGATGCTGGTTCTACATCAGTTGAAGAAGGAGTGACCTGCTCCGTTGTTTCATGTTCAGCTTCGGTGGGCTGGTTCCCTTCAGCTGTTGCTTCAGGTTCGTCTTCAGCTGGACAGATATCCACCAGACACCTGAGATGAGGTGGAGAATGAAAAGAGGAGTGAAGGAGCGGTTCTGTGAGGCTCCCAGAGGTCCTCCCCTAAAAACAGGAGCAAAGCTAAGCAGATGACATCTTGTCCTGGAACCCAAAGTTCTTCTGGGATCTGTCCATAGTGTCTCTCAGAGACAGATAAACAGCATTTAATCACCAACGGTCAGTAGTTGAAGACCAGCAACCAAAGTTAAAAAGTTCTTATGGCCATTAACCACTACTACCAACTCAGTAACGGTTATTTAGATACAGTATGTTTAGTATCTACTTAAATGCATTTCTAGGCTGAAAATGTGACATCAGGAGGCTGCTGATCACTGATTGGCTAGGGAGTCACATAACAGTAGGAGTTTCTAAATTCTACTTTCTTGAATCTATAAATTCCTGTTTGCTGGCCTTATGGATCCATCTCCCTGAGTCACTGGACCATAGGTGGGTGACTGACGGGCCTAAGGTACCGATAAAATGACACTAAGGGACCTGGACCAAGCTAAGATGCTGGTTTATCGGCGTGACCAGTGGGATTTTCAGAGAGGATGCTGCATACGCACTGCTTTGCTCCCAAACCCACCATTTATAAAGGAGTGAACTGTGCAAGGGCACAAACATACTCTGTGGAGCAAAACATTGGTCCAAGGGAGCTCCAACGTCCACCAATGGTCAAACCTCATCTCTGCCAATAGAAACCTTTGCTTGAGGCGGGGGACTGGAGATGAAAATGGAGGAGAAGCTTATTTAATGCTTGTCAGATTTGCATTGATTCCTGTTATCATTGGTCCAACTGTCTGCAAAATGTTCCAACTGCTTCATACTGTGGAAAATAGATGTGGAAATGGTTGCTGTGAAATGAAGCCCTTTTACGAGCCTGAACTCCCCAAGCTGCTTGATGGACCTCAGGGTTTTATGCACTGCCTCTTCTTCTTTGCTGCTCCTAATTAGCAGGATTAGTGCTGAAACTTGCTTCTTAGCAAAGCACAATGAACCCGAGCTCCACCAACCCAGCCAGCAACAGCATCAAGCAGCCAGTGCAGCACAGTACCAAGGCAGCACGCTGCTGCGCTGAACCCTGTGGCAAACGCAGCTTAAACTGCTTCCTGTCTCAAAGGCCTGCCCCCATAGAAATAAAAGAGTTTGGTAAAAATGAAAAAAAAAATAAATACATTTATCTTTCCCTTTTTGCATCCATAATAGCTTTGAAACCACCAGTGGTGAACCCAGGAACACCTCTGCCTTATGTTGTGAATGATGTGACTGGTGCGAGGGATTTAATGTTCTCTAGAGTCCTGTTTAAAGGAATAGTACACCCAAAACAGGATTAGCCTTCATTTTCTACTCACCCCCATGCTGAACAACACTCTGGAGTACTTTTTTGATATCTCAAATGCATCTGGAGATCTGGGAGGCTTCTTGCTGTCTGCTGACATTCAAATAATGGAGGTCTATGGCGCCCGAGACAGAAAGGTCCATAAAAGTCCACAAAAAACGTGTCAATATTCCTCCATACTGCTCGTCCAATGTATTCCAAGTGTCCTGAGTGGGTAGCGTCCAGAATTTACTCGAAACGAAGTCATTTAGAATGTTTTTAGAGCATAAACAGTAGTGTATAGGATTTCCTAGAAGCGCGTTCACGAGTCTACGGATACCGCGGCAGACCAAACCAGATGAAAGTGCGCATTCAGCGTCTGCTCTGCCGATAATGCAAGCGTAGAAGAAGAAATGTGCTGTTTAGCTGTGCAAAGAAAGAAACAACGGAAGAAAAATGTCTGAGGACTTCAGTGTTGAGGAAGAGCATGAGTTCTTTGCCGAGCTGAATGCGCACTTTCATCTGGTTTGGTCTGCCGCGGTTTCCGTAGACTCGTGAACGCGCTTTTAGGAAATCCTATACACTACTGTTTATGCTCTGAAAACATTCTAAATGACTTCGTTTCGAGTAAATTCTGGACGCTACCCACTCAGGACACTTGGAATACATTGGACGAGCAGTATGGAGGAATATTGACACGTTTTTTGTGGACTTTTATGGACCTTTCTGCCTCGGGCGCCATAGACCTCCATTATTTGAATGTCAGCAGACAGCAAGAAGCCTCCCAGATCTCCAGATGCATTTGAGATATCAAAAAAGTACTCCAGAGTGTTGTTCAGCATGGGGGTGAGTAGAAAATGAAGGCTAATCATGTTTTGGGTGTACTATCCTTTAAAACAGAAGTGATGCAAACTAAGAGATCAAAGCAAAACCAACGTTAGATGCATATTAAATTTAGCCAGATTTAAAAAATCTGGAATTTTCTGTCAATTTGCATCACACCTAATCAGGGGTGTTGTTAAAGTTTAAAGAGCAGAGCGAGATGAAGCTTTTGTAATTCTCGGCCAGGAACCGCCTCTGCATCCAGCTCCGGCCTCTTTCTCTGATCTCTGCTGTCCTCCCTTAGTACCAGAGGGCCTCATTTCCTAACCTCTGATGTCTGGTTGAAGTTTCAGATCCTGGACAGATGGAACCAACACTGAAAGTGACCATGATTCAGCCATATCTCCCGGACCCCGGAACCTGGCAGCCCCTATGGAGAATCTGAAGGACTCGGACGCCAGTGACTCTGTTCGGCTTCAGCATTAGTTACCAGACTGTAACTGCTGTGTAACATCCTGGTCCACCAAGTTGCGTTGGAGCAAGCAAGCAACAGATAGAAGCTCTTTCTACTTGATGACACAGCGCAATAAGTCGGGCTTTGTCTCCATTGGCCCTATTGGCCACACTTTTTTCTCCCAAAATGTTAAGTGAGGAACAAAATGCAAATTAGTTAAAAATGAACTGGAATCATATTTGGTATGAATCCATAATTAACTCCATGCCTTCTTCTCTGCTTTGGTGCAAATTCATAGCAGCATTACAGGACTATCAACAGATGTGGTCTAATCACGGCAGTGTTTAAGGCTGCTTTAGAAAACATGAAACCATTTTGTGTTCATGGAGTGTGACGTGACATAAGGATCTAACTCCAGCTGAAACACAGAGAACCATCAAACCAACATTTCCTTAATAACAACTGACATCAGAAGGCCTAACCTACCTCTTCAGTTCGGTCCTGATTGGCAGAAAGAAGGGAACAGAAAGGTCAGAAACCTCCACAGACCAGATAATCAACTGAGCATGGGAAACGCTTTGCAGAAGCCAGGGTACTGTGGATAGGGTGGGTATCCTAACATCCAGGTACTGTGGATAGGGTGGGTATCCTAACATCCAGGTACTGTGGATAGGGTGGGTATCCTAACATCCAGGTACTGTGGATAGGGTGGGTATCCTAACATCCAGATACTGTGGATAGGGTGGGTATCCTAACATCCAGATACTGTGGATAGGGTGGGTATCCTAACATCCAGGTACTGTGGATAGGGTGGGTATCCTAACATCCAGGTACTGTGGATAGGGTGGGTATCCTAACATCCAGGTACTGTGGATAGGGTGGGTATCCTAACATCCAGGTACTGTGGATAGGGTGGGTATCCTAACATCCAGATACTGTGGATAGGGTGGGTATCCTAACATCCAGATACTGTGGATAGGGTGGGTATCCTAACATCCAGGTACTGTGGATAGGGTGGGTATCCTAACATCCAGGTACTGTGGATAGGGTGGGTATCCTAACATCCAGGTACTGTGGATAGGGTGGGTATCCTAACATCCAGGTACTGTGGATAGGGTGGGTATCCTAACATCCAGGTACTGTGGATAGGGTGGGTATCCTAACATCCAGGTACTGTGGATAGGGTGGGTATCCTAACATCCAGGTACTGTGGATAGGGTGGGTATCATAACATCCAGATACTGTGGATAGGGTGGGTATCCTAACATCCAGGTACTGTGGATAGGGTGGGTATCCTAACATCCAGCAAGATGGACTACAAGTTTTATGCAACCACAGAGACCCGTGAAGAAGCAGGCTGACGTGTTCCAAAGAACAGTTAGTGGTTACCCTACAGGCGTACTGATGCAGATAAGGAGAACCTTGGTATTCCCATGGATGAAATTTTGATTTCAGAATAAGTGTGTGTGTGTGGGGTGGGTGGGGGGTTTATTGAACTAGGTCTGTGATCATCCAATCACAGACCTAGTTCAGTGGCGCATCAAATACTTGTACAGTGAGCTTTTCAGGAGACAGTGGTGACAGCCAATCACAGAGGGCCAATCAGGAGCTTGTGGGCGGTCTAAACTCAGAGAAGCAGGCTTCAACTGGAGCTGCGGTTTTCCCTCTTGGTCCTAGTGATCGATGAATTTCTGTGTAATGTAACATAACATTGTTTTTGGACAGTAAAAAGTGCAGTGGACCAAAACGGACGATGTTATAACCATGAAACAATCCTGTAAACCGCCCAGCGAGACTCTCCACGTCCTCCTGGAGATCATCATATTTTGCTTAGAGGTCTCAAACCAGGAATGTTTGTTCTGGTTGCTTAGAAATCTATTGCCACCCACAAAACTCGCCCTGAAAGTTCCTGGCATTCTCTGCAGTTTCCTCTCAATCTAATATGACTGAAGAAGTACCAAGTGGAGGCATCTAGAAGTTGTTTTGTTCAGATGAACCTCCTGGGCTGACTCATAGTAGAGAAACACAGAGCTTCATCACAAGACGATGGAGCTCCTCTGCTTATCTTTTAGACACCATCTTACACAGTCAGATCCTTTTATTTGTTCATATAATGGATATGGTTCTGGATCCATGACTGTAGGACCAGACTGGAAAATAAATGGAGCTTTGTGTTTTCCTTAAAGTCCAGCTCCTTTTTCCCCAGAGAAAGAAACACTGTACTGCAGAAAGGGTTCTAATCTCTGTTCCTATCCTGCCTTCATCTTGGACCAACATCCAACTCAAAAGAATAAAGTTAAAATCAATCCACTGGACTTTGCTTCCAAGTTTGAAGACGTTTCTCTTCCATCCAGGAAGATTTTTCAATTCAAAATGTCAGAAATAGCGTTTAGTTCCAGGTTTTATCCAGTGGTGGAAACTTGGAACAAACTTGGAAACACAGTCCAGTGGATTGTTTTTAACTTTCTTTTTTTTGCAATGACTGACCTGATGACTGAAATTCTTCACCAACATCCCTCCAACTCATCTACCAGAAGCAGAGACCACCATCTTGAACTCAGGGGACCAGGCTACTTCTTTATTGTCTAGAACCCTTGTCCTAACCCCTGAACATTGCAAGTCCAAGCAGATGTCCAATCCCAATGACAGCTAAACAAACTTCGTAATTATTCTGTAAAACACTAGAAACTGCCTAAAAAAAGAACATGACCTGACATGACAGTAAGTGGTCAAACTGGCTGCAGTGACTATTTTCCAAACTTGATCCTGGTAACAAATTGATGAAATGTTTAACTAACCAGCTATTTATTCGGTTACTGTTTGCTAACACCCTACTTTCCAGGCTAGCACACATGTCCACCCTGGAATGCTGACCTTATCTGGTGTCATATAAATGTTCGCAGTAGGTCGAAATGTGAGAAAACGTAGCAAATTATGTGGAACATCAAGACCTGACACCTGTTTGAGGTATGTTCTTCTCCTTTAACAGACATCCCAAGTCCAAAAAAAGGAATTTCAGGGAGATGCTTATTGCTCATAGGAGATCAGTTTAAAGTCCTGCTGAAATCCTGGTACCACGTCTTTTCTCTGCTTCCCCCAACCACTGAGCCTGCCTCTGTGCCTGTCTTTGTGCACAGAGGCAGATGCACAGAGGCACACATCCAGATTGAACAGTGCATGTCTATTGGAATTAAGGGCAGCGGCGTAGGAAGCGGGGGGGACGGGGGGGACATGTCCCCCCCAATATAAAAGCCAGGTGGATATGTCCCCCCCAAAAAATTGTACCGCAAAATATTAGATTTTGACATTTTTTAACTAGCGTGCTTTTATTTTGAAGGCGCAGCATAGCGTTACGTCATTGTACTCCCCCTCCCCTCTCTGAACTGCTGAGTGAGAGTGTTTGAGCACGCAGAAGGGAGGGAAACAGCGATACAGAAGTCAGAAACTTGTGAAAGAGGTAAAATGGTCTGTCGGGATGCTGCCTATTTAAAACGTCTTTGTTGTCAGTTCACTTTCATATATAGAAACTGAATCTTTTTGGTTTAGTCATCTTAATCTTGTACGAAAGAGGATTAGGGCCACTGGAAAAAAAAAGTTAACTGATTTTTAAATTTTTTTTTAGTTTAACATGGGTAAAAAAGTAAGAATTCTGACTTTTCTCAGAATTCTGACTTTAATCTCAGAATTCTGACTTTTTTCTCAGAAATCTGACAGATGATTAATATTTCTAATCAATTTACAGTGTTTTTTTTTTGTTTGTTTTTTTTTGGGGGGGGGGGTTGTACTATACAGATATATAAAAACAAGAAGGTCTAACTAAAAAAATAACCAGAATATATGTTTAGAGTAAAGATTTACTACTTGTACACAAGCACACAATTTCAAATCTGCTGAGCTTGCTGTGCAAGAAAATGTAAAATATACGTATAAAGAAATATAACAGGAAGTACTGCTAAAACATAAACTAAATGTTAAATAATGTAGATATTGGTTTAAAAAATTCTTCAGATTTGGAAATTTGGAAGGAATACATAATTTTGAAATTAATCAACAAATCTGGTAAAAAATAAATAAATAAAAAATAAAAGTTGCACTTTTTTACTTGAGGAATTTGTTGAATAACTTCATAATTATGAGTTTAACTAGTTGGAGGTAATGCTACACTTCTCTGCTTCCTGTCCTGCTCATAAAAGGTAAACATTATAAACCCACCATCCATTTTCTACATTATTTGGAAAACACAACACAAATGTAATATAACAAAAGTATGTTTAAAAACAAACATGTTAGCATCCAGCCATAGGCATGTCTATTTTAGAGACTAGCTCTCTTGTTTAATGACCTTCTGCTCCTCCATTAATGAGGGGACCCCTCGGGCACGTAAAAAGTTGCCTAATTCTGTCATTTTCCACCAATGTGTCACTGGCTCTCTCAAACAACTCACTTCTTTGTCAGTGAAGCTGAGTGCTCCACATCTCTGCCTTCATGGTGCCCATCTACATTAAGATCCACAATTCTGTCAGATTCTGTCAGAATTCTGAGATTAAAGTCAGAATTCTGAGAAAAAAAAGTCAGAATTCTGACCTTTTTCCCGTATTAAACTGAAATGAAATTTAAAAATCACTTAACTTTTTTTTTTTTTTTTCAGTGGCCCTAATCCTCTTCCGTAGTCTTGGGCTGGTCACTCATCCAATATTTAACTGCTAACTTTCTCTAGACGTTTGCCACGCTAGCCAAAATGTTTTTTTTTTTTTATATATATCTCATTTCAGTACAATGCCACCACCAACTAAAAGGCGGAAACAGCAGTAGGACTTACTCAGATTTTTTTAAAAAGAGAAACGTCAGTGTGAGTAACAGTCACCTAACACAACTTGTGTTGAAATTAGCCCGATCTGGGCGTGCGTTTAACGAGGATTTTTTTATTTTTTGCATGGTTTTGATTCGCCGAAATGGACAGATGTTATACCTGCCGCGCTCCTGATCGTTAGTTAACCACAGGGAGAATTAATTTTAATTCTTAGCAGCGGCGGCCGCATTGGTCGTGCAACCACTAATTAACCAACTAATTAACTTCTGCACCTTTATTTCCTCAAATAAACTGCTGGCTCCTCTTTTTAGACTATAAACAGATTAACACAACATTGACAACTCTGTAGTTTTCTCTGTTCTGTACTGCAAATTGGAATTAAAGGCGCCATTTCTACCAAAGGTCGGGACAGACTGACGCACCAGCACCTCCTGACCCCACTAAGGAACAGGGTGTACAGAAAATGGAAGGATAGATGGATTTCTACCAAAGGTTGATAATGCGTTTTTGAACCAGATGCTTCAAAGCGCCCTGTCCATAATTCTTCACCACACTGTCAGCTCCCTCTGTCAGTCAACCTATATAAATTCATTTTTTAAACATTATTGCAAGTTTGACAAAATAAAACATATCAAACTTTGCACATGTGTGGCCTACTGAATTGTTTTTAATCCAACTGAAATATTTGATTTTCTAGTGCGTATGCGGACACTAAATATGCCAAGGGCTGAAGCCCTTGAAAGACATCTCCCTTTGCTTAATAAAAGACTCCAGTCATTTTGTTTGGTGATATGCTCACATCTTATGAACAAATGCATTATGTAAATTTTAAATGCATTATTTTTGCAAGACACATTTATAAAGGAATAAAGTAAAAGATTAAATAGCCTTTTTTTAAAGTAGCGTACTTAAGACATGTTTCTGTTGAATATTTACGAATCTCAGATTTGCGACATGTGTCCCCCCCAATTGTAAACATATTCCTACGCCCTTGATTAAGGGTATCAAATTCCCAGTTGTACATCAGAATGGGATACTCCATGTTTGCCTCAATGTTATACTCTCTATAAGGGTCAGCTGGAAATAAAATGTGAGTCCCAGAGTGCCTGTTAATTATTAGCTTAAAGCAACACTGTGGGATTTTCCACCCAAAATTGTTATAGCTAGTGGTCATGTGACCCAGAGTCACATGGCCAGTCTGAGCTTAAATAGGAGGGCTACCTAAGCCAAAAGTTATTAGCCTCAAAAACCAGATTTGACCCAAACCACATCAAACATATTTTTGGTTTTCTGAGGTAGGTTTTATTCGAGGGGGTGAAATTTTCCTTGTCTTTACAAGGAACTCTGTGATTTATATTAATCATGGCTGGTTCATTAGCTACAGGGGAGCCCTACCAGGGGCTTCAAGGGCTCCAGACCTGGACGTTTCCAGTTTCTAGCGGCCCCAGTGCCTAAACATTTACACAGTTTTGCTTTAATTTGAAAGAATGTAGGTCAAGTTCTGTTATTCCAAGCACCCTGATAACTAAGATGAATTAATCTTCATCAGCTTAGATGGAGGACATGCATGATGTTGCATGAAAATAAGACCAGCTGCAGTGATGTTTGAGGTGCAGTTGAGTAAATGTTATAGCAGTGATGCACCTGAGCAGCGTGAGAGCGGCGGTTTCTAAGCTTTAAATTGTGCTGCAGTAGCAAACATAGAGTTGGGTAATGTTGGGTTGAACTAAGCAGTTTGGAACCATCAGGAAGGTTTGCAGTGGTGTGATGCAGATTCAGCTCTTTAGAAAAAGCATGCAAGCTGAGCTGAAACTCCCAGAGCCGCACCAGGAGTTCATCTTCATCTAATGTGGCTGAACTTACTCCTCCGTTTGATTCGCCTCAGTGCTTTTGCTTTTATTATCTGTGCTGTCCTCACTGTCCTCCTGCAGGTGCTGCAGCCTGAACGAGGAAAAGAGCGGAAAGCTGCGGTGAATCTGAGCAGCTGGAACATCTGGAGCCTTCAGCTTATTGGAGTCTCAAAGCCTGTTTGGCTTTCTAACACAAAACCTATAAAAAACTGGAATTCTCTCTGGAATTGATTGTTTTCATCACTTTACTCTTTGTACTGATCAGTGCGTCATGATCGTTAAACTACTTCTGGTCTCTTGATTAGCAGCAGAGAGGGATCCTGTCTGTGGGGGCATCTAATCAGGATTTCACTGATTCTTCCTCAGGGAAAACAGCAACTGTGACAGTTTTGACTTCTTTGGATCTGCAGAAACCTCCTATGGACTTACTCTGGTTCATCTTCATTTTCCTCCTCCAGGATGTTGGGTAGTCTGTGGACAACCAGAAACGTTGGTCAGATCCTTTATGGCTCCTCTGGTTTCAGTGTTTGGAAATCAGCTCCTGACCCCAAATTCTCTTCTGCTTCAGACAGAGCAGAGTGCAACCTACTGCTCATTGGACTCCGGGAGCGTTTCTATGACGATCTTGGCTGAATGCTCCACCTCCAGCTGTCGGACTGCCTCCTCTGCCGCCTTCCTGGCCATCTCCTCAGCGACCCGGGCCGCCTCTAGACGCTCCTGCTGCAGCCTGGTACAGGGGGGGAGATCCAGAATCCAGATCCAGCGTTCAGACAGAAGAAACCCTTTTTTTTGGATCCTGTACATTTCTTTGATATTAAAGGTTCTGCTGGTGAACTCTTATAGCTGCAATCTGAACCAGGAATTAAACTTAAACTTTTGAAAGTTAAAAGGTCCTAATCCATGTAAACCTAAATATGGATACAACCTGAAGATGGTTCAGACAGAAGATCCATAGAGGAGCAGAGATAAGAGCTGCTCTGCTGTTTTTAATGCTGTAAATACTCAAACCATGACATGTTCCAACAACCGTCTCCAAAAGCTGAAGGTCTGGACCACACAAAGACAGGGGAGGAAGATGAAGACGGTGAGCTGCTAACCTTTCCTCCATGTGAGCGAGGACAGCGTCTCCAGCCTCCTTCTTGATACTGTCCATCAGTGGGGTCAGTTCATCTACCTGCGTCTCTGCATCGTCCATCTGCAACCAGTAACAGAGATGTCCTTTAAGTCACTGACATTAAAATCTCACCTATCCATCCCAGAAACCCATCCTACCTGTTCTATCTGCCAGATCTGTCCCCTGTCCTACCTGTCCCTCCCCTCAGGCTGTCCCATCTGTCCTGCTGTCCCACCTGTCCTATCTCTCCTATATATACTTAGAGGCTCACATGTCTAATCTGCCACTTCTAAAGTTCCATCAACCCGTCTTCTTCCTCCCTGAGATGTTTGCCCGGGTCTCCAGGAAGTCATCTTCACGTCCTGACCTCACTGACCTGCTGCTTCCAGTGATCAGAAGATTTACTCTTCCTCTTAAGCAATGAATAAATGTACCTAAATAAAGTTGCTGGTAGATAAAAGTTCAACTTGCTCATTTTTTTTATTCCAATTTAATAAAATAACTGAAAATGCAACAATGTTCAGCTTTGTTGAGGAATTCCTCAGAGCCGTGTTCAGCCCAGTCACTTTCTTAGTAGTTTTAGAACTAACTGTTATAACCCAGACCAGCAATGAACTTTTAATAGAGGAAATACACTCATATGTATGTTTGTGTCATTGAGTCAAAGCTAATTGGAAAATCGTAACCATCCTTAAACATGAACATCTGTTAAACCCAGAGCAGATGTTAAACAGGTGTGGATAAGAACAGGTGGTAAATAATCAGAGTATCTGCTGAGCTAAAGCACACCCACCTCTATTTTAGACATCTGCTGATTGATCTGCTCATGCGGCTCCTCCTTCACCTCCTCCAGATCTTCCAGGACCAGGTCCATCTTCTTCTCAGCAGAGCCGCCTAAACCCACAGGGACAAGCAGAGCTGCTCCGGTTAACGTTTCAAACCTGCTTTTTGGAATGAAGCTGCTCTTTCTTAACCATGGTGGGTCCCTCCTCAACTGGTTAGTTGGGTGGTCGAGTGGTTAATTTGTTGGTTAATTGGCTAATTGATTAGTTGGTCCATGGGTTGGTTGATCAGGTGATTAGTAGTTTGGTTGGTTAATCAGGGGGTTGGTCAACTAGTTGGTTGGTTGGTTTGTCAGCTGGTTATTTAGTTGTTGGAGTAATTAGTACGTCGGACGGGTGGTTGGTTAGTTAGCCAATCGGTTGTTCAGTTGATTGTATTTTTGGTTGGATGTTATTTGGTTGGTTGGCTGACTTATTGGTGGTTTACAGGGTTGGTTGGTTGGTTAGTTGGTTGGTTAGTAGACTCATATCACAGAAATCACTTTGATATATAAAAACACTAAACCGTCTCTGTGTCTCAGCGTTCATCTATTAAACGATCTAATGATGTCTGCATTTGTTTGAGAAGCTTTTTGGGTTGATCCAACGGGTAAATGTCAATTATCAAAATTAAAGACAGTTTGCAAATAATCTGAATAATAATAGAGATATGACTTTGTACATAAAGGATTGAAGGAAAGAGAAAGAGCTTCTGTGTATTTAAGCCATGAGTTTTTACGACTGTATTCAGTCTACAGTGGCAAACAGTTGTTTGAAATATTGTTTAAAAAAGTAAAAACCAAAACGGATAAAAAAACAACCGACACGTAAAATTAACCAATGAGTTACAGAAATGGTTAACAGAAGCAAAGTGTTTCTATTAGCTAGATAACATCCATCCGATAAAGCCCAATATTAGTTTGTTTGGCTAATATTGGACCGATATCCAATATTAATTTAGGATCAGGACGTACCAAGCAATGTTGGTCGGCTGGTTGATTGGTTGTTTGGAGGGTTTATTTACTGGTTAGTGTGTTTGTTGGTTCGCTGATCTCATTGCCTCCATTTTGAAATAAAAACGACCTAAAAGTTCCAGATAAAACCTTCATGTTTCTGAACTGGTTGAAATGCTCCACTGATCGGATGACAGATAAACAGATGCAGTTCCCTGAGAAACTATTCAGCATCCTTGAATGTTTCTAACTTTTGTCACATCGTGCATAAAACATAAATATATATAAAATTGTATTTTTTTTCTAAAGAATCAAGCAGTGGGACATAATCATAAAGGGGAACAAATGTTTTTGGATATATTAAAGTTTTTTAACAAATAAAAAATGAAGAGTGGGCGAGCAAAATGAATCACACCTTTACTTTCAGTGCAGCAAACTTTCTCCAGAAGTAATTCTAAATGATCAGATATTGACCTTAATGACTGATGATGATAAATAGAATCTACCTGGGTGTATTTAAGTCTCCGTATAAATGAACCTGCTCTGTGATCGTTTCAGAGGTCTGTTTAAAGCACAGAGAGCATCACAAGGAACTGGGAACACACCAGTCTGGTCTGAGATAATGTTGTGGGAAAATTTAGAGTTGGATCTGAATACAAAAAGATTTTCCAGGCTTTGAACATCTCAAAGAGAACTGAGCAGGCGATAATATTTAAATGGAAGGAGCATCAGACTATAATCTATCTACTATTAATCTACGATGACCCAGTCATCCCTCTAAACCAGAGGTCACAGATTAGCGGACTCAGGTCTTGCTGGCTAATTCTGACCCAACTTGATTTAAAACATCAACACCGACAACAGCGTCTAACTTCCCTTGCCCCTCTTCTCCTGTTAATACGGTAAAGCCCTGGGGAGCGTCCGGCTCCAGGCTGCACGTGATCCAAATGAGCCAATGAGCTGTCAGTCTGGGTTGCTGCTGCTGCTACTTTTAGACACAGCAGGCAAACCTGTGGCAAGCCGGGCGATGGGAAAGAAGGAGAAGACCATGAGAAAAAGAGAGCAGAGAAAGTGTGGACTGCTGGAAGAACTGCGGTGAACTGGTGAAAGAAAAGTGAAATGGCGTGCTCAAAGATGACCCTGCACATTTAGAGGATGTTTGGCTCGTTTTCTTTCTAACAAAGCAGTAGAACCAGACACCATTCATCTCATCTAGTGAGTCCAGTCTGAACATGATGACGGGATGAGATGAACGGAGTCTGACGCTACGGCTAGGATGGATGGATGGATGGATGGATGGATGGATGGATGGATGGATGATGGATGGATGGATGGATGGATGGATGGATGATGGATGGATGGATGGATGGATGGATGATGGATGGATGATGGATGGATGGATGGATGGATGGATGGATGATGGATGGATGGATGGATGGATGGATGATGGATGGATGGATGGATGGATGGATGGATGATGGATGGATGATGGATGGATGGATGGATGGATGATGGATGGATGGATGGATGATGGATGGATGGATGATGGATGGATGGATGGATGGATGGATGATGGATGGATGGATGGATGGATGATGGATGGATGGATGGATGGATGATGGATGGATGGATGGATGGATGGATGGAGGTGGGATGGAGGGATGGATGGAGGGAGGGAGGGATGGATGGAGGGATGGAGGGAAAGGGGGAGGATGGAGGGGTGGAGGGATGAGGGAGGGGTGGAGGGATGGATGGTGGGGGGATGGAGGGATGGGGATGGATTGGAGGAGGGAGGGAGGGGGGAATGGTGGAATGGAGGGATGGAGGATGGAGGGATGGATGGATGGAGGATGGGTTGGAATGGATGGAATGAGGATGGATGGATTGGAATGGTTGGAATAAGGTGAGGGGATGGATGGGAGGGATGGGATGATGGATTGGATGGGGATGGTGGATGGATGGGATTGGAGATGGATGGATGGTGGTGGGGGTTTGGGGGGATGGATTGAAGGGGGGATGGATAGGGATGGAGGGATGGATGGGGAAATGGATGGATGGGGGATGGATGGGGATTGGAGGGATGGTGGATGAGGGATGGATGGAGGTGGATGGATGGGTGGGGGATGGGGATGAGGATGATGGTATGGAGATGGATGGATGGATGGATGGATGGAGATGGATGGTGGATGGATGGATGGATGGATGGGATGGGATGGATGGGAATGGATGAGGAGGGAGGGATGGTTGGGGGATGGATATGGAGGGAGGGGTGGAGGGATGTGAGGGATGGATTGAGGTGGATGGATGTGGTTTGGGGGATGGTGGATGGGGGGAGGGATGGAGGGAGGGATTATGGATGGAGGAGGGAGGTGTGGATGGATTGGAGGGTGGTGATGGGGGATGGATGGAGGGATGGATGGATGATGGATGGATGGATGGATGGATGATGGATGGATGAGGGAGGGTGGATGGATGGAGGGATGGATGATGGTGGATGAGGGAGGGAATTTGGATGGAGGGGATGGATGAGGATGGATGGAATGGAGGATGGATGATGGATGGAGGATGGATGGGGGGATGGAGGGATGATGGATGGATGGATGGATGAGGGATGATGGATGGATGGTTTGGGGGATTGATGGATGGATGGAGGATGGTTTGGAGGGAAAGGGAGGATGGAATGGTTTGGAGGGAGGGAGGATGTGGATGATGGATGATGGATGATGAGGATGGAGGGTTGGGATGGATGGTGGATGGTGGATGGTGAGGGAGGATGGAGGATGGTTTGGAGGGAAGGGAGGGATATGGAGGGGTGGATGGGGATGATGGATGGAGGGATGGATGGATGGATGGATGGATTGGAGGATGGATGATGGTGGATATGGAGGGATGGTGTGGATGGGATGGATAAAGGATGGATGGATGGATGAGGATGATGGATGGATGATGGATGATATGAGGGAAAGGATGGATATGGATGGATGGAGGATGGATGGGGGGTGGATGGAGGGAGGGAGGTGGATGGAGAGGATGATGGATGGATGATGGATGATGGATGATGGATTGATGGATGATGGATGGAGGGGATGGATGATGGAGGGATGAGAGGGATGGAGGGATGGATGGTGGTGGATGATGGAGGGAGGGTTTGGGGAGGAATGGGGGGAGGATAATGGATGGATGTTTTGGGGGGATGTTTTGGGGATGGATGATGGTTTTGGAAGGATGAGGATGATGGATGGATGATGGAGGGGATGGATGATGGATGGATGGGGAGGGATGATGGATGATGGGGGAGGGAAAGGTGATGGATGGTGATGGATAGGATGGATGGAGGGGATGATGGATGGTGAGGGATGGAGGGAGGATGGGGGATGGGATGGGGGAGGGAGGGATGAGGGATGATGGATGGAGGGTGAGGGGATGGAGATGGATGGAAGGATGGAGGGAGGGAATGGATTGGTGAGGGATGGATGGATGGAGGGATATGGATGTGGATGGATGGTGGAGGGTGGATGGATGAGGAGGATGGATGGATGGATGATGGAGGTTGGGGATTTTTTTAGGTTGGGGGATGGTATGGGGGAGGGTTTATGGTATATGTTATTTATATAATTATGGGGTTAGGTGATAGGGAGGAGATATGGATATGGGTGGATGAGGGATGGAGGGATAGATATATAGGAAGGTGAGGGAGGGATTTTTGATATTTTTATTTAATAGGATATTGGAATGGGGGATTGGGTATATTTTAGGAGGGATGGAGGAGGATAATTTTTTATATATGGATATTTTTATATATATGGTTTTAAGGGATATGGATGGATGTAGGGAGGTTTGGAGGGAAGGGATGGATGAGGATGGAGGTGGGGGAGGGTTGGGGGATATATGGTTGGAGGGAAATGGTTGGATATAGGAGGGATATTTTTTATTATGGATGTTGGGTTTATAAGGGTAGGGATAGGGAATATATATAGGGTTATATATGGGTTTGGGGGGGGATGGATGAATGGATATGGAGGGTATTTATATGATATGGATATATAATTTTTTATATATATATTTGGGGGATAGGGAGGGATATATATGGGTATGGGGGGATTTATATTTTTGGGATATAATATATATAGGGAAGGGGAGGTTTGGATAAGGATGGGTATATATGGGTTATATATATAGGGGATGGATGATAGGGTAGGGATATGGATTATTTTATAGGGTGGGGGAGGGATATATTTTGGGTATATATGGAGGATTTGATATATATATGGATAGGGATGTGGATGAGGGATAGGGATAGGGTTTGGGTTATATGGGGGTGGATATGAGGGATATGGTGGAGGATGGGGTTGAGGGAGGAGGGGATAGGGTGAGGGATATTTTAGGGATTTATTTAATATGGATGGGTATATATTTTATGGAGGGATATATATATATGATTATATGGATGGATGATATATAGGGATATGGATTGGATAGGGATATATATATATGGATAATATTGATTTTTATAAATATGGATATATGGAGGATATTTTTACACATTATATATATATGATGGATGGATTGGTTATAAGGGGGGGTTTTATATATAGGGATGGATGATATTTTATATATTTGGGGATATTTTATAGGAGGGAGGGATTGAGGGTGGATAAAGGTGGATATAGGGAGGATGGATAGGGGATAAGGACGGATGGAGGGATGGATGTTTATATATATATTTTATATATGGATGGATGGAGTATATGGAATGGCACATATTTGGTGGAGGAGAATTGGAGGATGGGTGGATGTACATAGGGGATAGGATTTTTGGGGGGAGGGTTGGGGGGACATGGAGGGAGGGAGGACGGAATATATGGATGGATTTAATGGGGGGACGGATATGGATGGAGGGAGGAGAGGATGGATGGAGGGGTTGGATGATATGGAGGAGGATGGAGGATATGGCGGACGGTGGAGGCGGCGGCGGAGGGAGGAGGGATGGGATGGAGGAGGAGGAGGAGGAGGGGGGATATGGTGGTGATGGAGGGATATGGAGGCAGAGGGAGGGGAGGGGAAAGGGAGATGAGGGATTTTTGGTGGACGGGGTGGGTATGGTTGGATGGAGTGATATTGGATGGTGGTAGGACACGGAGGGTGAGGATGGTTTATATAAAAGGGAGGGATGGAGGAAGGGGTTGGTTTGGATGGAGGGAGGATGGGGGGAGGGGTTGGGGGAGGGAGGCGGTGTGATGAGGTGGTTTTGGAGGAGGATAAGGGATATGGATATGGATGGAGGATGGATGGAGGATGGATGGTTTGGGGGGAGGGGATATGGAGGGGGGGGATGGATATGGAGGGATAGGGGGGGGATGTTTGGGGGAGGTGATAGGGAGGGTGATGGAGGAGGGAGGGAAGGGTGGTGGAGGAGGATGGAGGCTGGGAATGGGATGGAGGAGGGGGAGGGGAGGGTGGAGGTGGGGTGGGGGGGAGGGGACTGATGAGGGAGGTGGAGGATGGTGAGGTGGATGGATGGAGGGAGGGTAGGTGGGATTGGGGAAGGATGGATGGAGGGATGGATGGAGGAGGATGGGGAGGGAGGTATGGAGGAGGGAATGGAGGAGAGGATGGAGGAGGATGGTGGATGAGGAGGGAGGAGGAATGATGGAAAGGATGGATGGGGATAGGGGGGATGATGGATAGGAGGATATGGATGGATTTGAAAAAGGGAAATAATGGAGGGAGGATGATAATGGAGGTTGGAGGGAGGATGATGGATGGGGGAAATGATGGTGGTGGAGGAGGGAAGGAGGGTGGAGAAGGAAATGGGGGGAAGGATGGATGGGCGGGGCGGTGGATGGGAAGGGGCTGGGATATGGTTTGGATGGATGGAATGGGGAGGGAAGCTTTGGAAGATGTTGGGGGTTTAGGGAGGAAAAGGAAACGGCGGTGGATGATAGGAGGGGGAGGGGGGGAGGATGGAAGGAAAGGATGGATGAGGATATGGAAGGAGGATTGGGAGGTGGGGAGGGGGGTGTGGGATGGGGGGGGAGAGGAGGAGGATGGAGGAGGAGGGAGGATGGAAGGTATGGATGGAGGATGGTGGATTGGATGGGGATGAGGATCGGAGGATGGTTGGAGGGAAGGGATGGAGGGGATGGGAGGGATGGAGGATTGGGTTGGGGATGGTGGATGGATGGATGGATGGATGGATGGACGGCGGGATGGATGATGGATGGAGGGATGGAGGAGGGATGGATGGAGGATGGATGGAGGGATGTGGATATGGATGGATGATGGAGGAGGGATGGGAGGATGGTGGTGGATGGAGGGAGGATGATGGATGGATGGATGGATGGATGGGGATGGATGGATGGATGGATGGAGGATGGAGGGGGATGGATGGAGGATGGATGGAGGGACGGAGGAGGGATGAGGGGTGGATGGAGGGAGTGGAGGAGGATGGATGGATGGAGAGGATGGATGGATGGATGGTAGATGGAGGATGGACGGATGGATGATGGATGGATGGATGATGGATGGATGGATGGATGATGGATGGATGGATGATGGATGGATGGATGGATGGATGGATGATGGATGGATGGATGGATGATGGATGGATGGAGGATGGATGGATGGATGGATGGATGGATGGATGATGGATGGATGGATGGATGGATGGATGGATGGAGGATGGATGGATGGATGGATGGATGGATGATGGATGGATGGATGGATGGATGGATGGATGGATGGACGGATGGATGATGGATGGATGGATGATGGATGGATGGATGATGGATGGATGGATGGATGGAGGATGGATGGATGGATGGATGGATGGATGGATGGATGGATGGATGGATGGATGGATGGATGGATGGATGGATGGATGGACGGATGGATGATGGATGGATGGATGATGGATGGATGGATGATGGATGGATGGATGGATGGATGGAGGATGGATGGATGGATGGATGGATGGATGGATGGACGGATTGATGGATGTTGTGGTAAAAAAAGGAGAGAAAGACCCAAACCATTTTCTTATTTCTTGATCAGACTTTTATTTTCCAGCATTATTTGTTGTATTTTAGCTGCTCAGATCTAAAAAGCAAGAAGCTGAAGTAGAAATCTGAACCTCTGGATCCAGACCTGCTGTGGCATCCTCCCAGTAAAAGTTACAACAAGCTGGACTGAAGCCAGTTTATGAGGGACAGCAGGAAGGTTATTGATCAGCTCTCCAGGAACTTCAGAGTAAATATCCTGGAAAGTCAGGCAGTCCTGTCCCTGATCACCTGTCAGGTGTATTTTCCTCAGCTGGATGTGTCAAACTAAAGCATGTTGATGTCCATAAAAGCCTTCCTGTGAGCACTACTGGACTGATGGCGTCAGTCCAACGGTTATATCTCTGCTGCTTTCAGTGTGAGCGACTCTGTCCTGCATCCTGCACATCCTTCTCCTTTTATTTTAGGGGCTCAGTCCGACTTTCCCCCCTGAAACAGAAGGAGAAGAGCAGCTCAGTTAGAGTCCGCCTCACCTCTGACACTAACCATCAACCAGCCAACCAATCAGCACCTGGACCGGAAATCCGACTGCAGGTAAGGTTCTGCTCACACTATGGCCCCCTACCCTGTGGAACCGATCCATGCTGAGCTGGGATCAGTTAACCTGCTGAGCTCAGTTAATCATTTAAACGCCATGCTAGCACAGTTCCTCGCCTCGCAGTGGCGATCTACGGTACTACTGCTCTCTAGAGGGAAACAAGCAAACCAACATGGCGGCGCCCGTAACATTCAGGAAGTTTGGTTATAATTTGGATATTTTGTTGTTTAAGGAGAGTCAGGTGAAGAAGGCAGCCTTTGGTGAATTTACTTGATAGAGTGGATGTTTGGGAAGTGGATACGACAAACGATCGTCTGATCAGAGCTTCCAGACGCAGGAAACGACAGATGTTGAGGTTCATCACACTGCTGAGCAGAACCATCACTGGAAATCATGCGGCTCGGTAGGAAGCTAGGATTTTATGAAATTTCCTGATTATGGAGGCTGACTGTGAGGAGATGATGCGGTCTGCTAATGCGCTCTTTGTTATCTGAGAGCCAGAACCGAACCATGCCGACTGCTGATGAACTAGTACCATGTTCTGACTGATGCTGGTGTGTTACAGTGAGGTTAGTGGGTACTTACTGCTTTGCACCTCAGCATTCGCTGCCTCCTGAATGGAGGAGACAAATCAGATCATCAGTGAAGGTCAGGTGACTCCAGTTGGTTATATGACGTCTTTAAAGAGACAGATCACTCACCGGCTTTGGGACGGGCTGAGGCAACATGCGTCCAATGCCATTGACTATCCAGCCCATCATGCTGCAAACAGATTTATAAAATCATTTCATGAAAACAGCCCACTGCGTTGGTCTTAAAGGAGAATTCCGCTCATATTCAGAATCCAAACTTCTGAAAGTTCTTTAAATCTGAAATGATTCCATCCTGTTCAATAAATGATCAGTGTTTTTAATTCAGAGTAATTTTCATGTGAATGTGCTTTACTGGAGGCATCCATGTTTGTCAAAGAACACTACTGCCACCTACTGGTTAGTGACATTGTCACGGTGCGGTATCGGCTGTTGATCAAGTCCCAGTGCTGTATCTGGTGTTTGTCACAACGCGCTATTATCCAAGTCATCTTGAAAACATTCTTCTTCCAAATGTTGGCTACATATTACGGGTTTTTTCTCTGGCCAGAAGTTCGATGGCAAATCCTCCCTCTTCAAGTTGGCGATCCAACGACCAACCCGTCCGTGGAGGATCAGGAATCAGAAAGGTGGAATAACTCTTTTTTCCACTTTTACCCGATGTATTCCAGCATCCAGCTGCCATGCACGTGGGCATTGTCAGTTTCACTATAGCTCTGGTGAATTTCAATGGTGAAGTCCTCTGGAAATCTTCAATAATTGTTGTTGATTGCAGATGTGTCTAGTAGTTCCCATTGATTTAGCTTGGAAAGCGGGGAGAATGGCGCTAGGCTTACCGCACCGTGACGTCACTGCTGGAAGATGGCAGGAGGGAGGGGCTAATAGATTTGGCCAAAGATGGCCGCTCACAGACTCAGTGATCGCGATGAAAATTATTATTTTTAGTTTTTTCACTGATTAATCCTACATTAATTAAATCACTGCGAATGTTTTAGTTTTAGGTATAAATAAGGATCCATTCATTGCTGACCAGACTTCTCCTTTAATGTTTTACTTTTATTTATTTAGTCATTTTTACCCACTTTTTTTCCCTTTAAAAGAATATATGCCTTTAATTTGGATGATGTGTCTCTTTTTGGCTCTCGAGGACTGAGGAGATCCTTCAGGTTAAAACCTTTTTATGATTCCAAAACTGTTAGAAATTGTTCTCAGGCTTCTGGTGACCTTTGAACCTTAACAACTCCAACATCTTTAGGTTTCAGTAGTTTGGATTTTAAAAAGCAAGAATCAAAACAAATATTTCCACTTACTTTGGCTGCTGCTCTGCTTCCTTTGCAGACCTACAGGTGTGAAGAAGCAAAGAGAGACGTTATCTTCTGTCTCTTTACCTGATCTAAAGGTTTACTGTCCAGACTGGAAAACATCTGAGCTGGAATCAGCAGGTTTGGTGGAATCAGCTACTCTGCTAAAGTTAAAAATCAAAAATGCAAATCTAAAAAATCTGACCAATAGGAAGTTAAAAGGATCAACAGCGAGCAGAAGGAAATAGTAATAAATGTGTTTCAGATGGTTGACTCACTCTGTCTCTGAGGCTGGCTTCATGGCTGCAGCAGGAGGAGGAGGAGCCGCAGGAGGAGCTGCAGGAGGAGCTGTAATCATCCAAAAGCAGGACAAATGTTTCAGTAGATTTTATTTTCCAATGATGCAACCTCATGGACTGTCAGTAGAATCCATTTTAAGCACCTTTGGGTGGAGCTTGGGGTTCAGGCTCCGTCTTCAGAGGGATCTCAGGCTGAGGAACCACCTTCACGATGCCGTGCTTGATCCACTCCATCATGCTGGAAATGGGTCAGATATCACTTTATGCTGATGATACTGTTATATTTCTGCCTGGCTCAAATATTTAATCTATTAGCAAACATGTGATCATTTAATTACTGATATTTAAAAAAACATTACTTTTGGATACATTAAGTCTGTTTCTAACCATTTTTTGTTAAAACTTCTCGTAACATTATCATGGACTGACTTAAAGATATAGTGGAGCATTTTCACAAATATACGATTAGATCCGCCCTCTTCACCTAAAAAAAAAAAAAAGAAGCACATGCACAGCCATGTACCGCTCCTGCGAGGGATCGCCTATTCGATCGAGTGCCAGAGCGTGCAGGAGCCCATTTCTCCTCGTGCACGCTGTGTTTAAACATTGCTATTTGCATCGCTCATAAAATCTTACTTTCCAAAAGAAGATTTGGCGTTTTAACGCTATGTCACACTCACCACTGCTAAGTTAAAATGGGGACGAGAACGTAGGATGGCCTTACGTAATGTAGAGTTAGGAAGCTGAGGTAGAGGCGTTTCTTGGAAGAAACAATTTATTGAAAGTCCTCAGATAGAGAGAAACAGCTCTGACTGGGCAAAGCTAAGTACTTTTATACAGCACCTCCCAACACACTCTCTCTCCTATGGAACTATCCCATCTCTACGTAAAGAACTTTCTCACATACGGACATTTGGTTATTCCCAAGAAAAAACCCTTTAATTCATCAAGGACATAAATTTTAGCCAGATTAACACTCAGAGCAGGTCTGCCGCTCACGGCATGAAGGAGGCTGATTGATCTCATCTTATCTCTCATAGTTCACTGATATCTAGAGCAGGGAGGCAACTGCTTCCTGTTTTCCCCAATCTAAACTCCATAACTAAACTCCTGCATACAGACTGGAACCAGACTTCTGAACAATCAGCCCTATTTATGCAGAGGAAAGGAAAAACTCAAACATTTTATCTCACAATTAGGCAAAGGAAAAACATTCTTCCATGGTTATTATATCACCAGAATGACTGACAGTTAGGAGGAACATTTATTCTGATGATCCACCTGGAAAAAGAACATCCTCCACTATAGCTTTCAATACAGCAACCATCTATGAGCCTAAAGTATTAAGGCGGAACAAAAACTGTTCCACCTTATCTCAGCTTCCTTATTCAGGAATGAGGTCAAACAATTCATCCTCTGATTCAAACACAAATATTTCCTACTTTCCTTTCTGCCTGTTTGGTCACTAACAACTAATAACATGTTGGAACCTACAGCCAGCTCTATAATAAAATGCACTGCAGACTCTCTCTCTCTCTCTCTCTCTCTCTCTCTCTCTCTATCGTGCCTTAAGTCTTAATAATGACATTTTATGTAGCGGAACAAATCTGTTTTTCCAATCTTCCTATAGTACCATTTAAAAATGATGTACTTCCTGTCATGTCTGCACTCAGTACAGGAAATGAACATCCCAATAGGTCTGGTACAAATGGACATTTACCACCACTGTATGGAGTAAGAATAAGAATAACTGAATTTGTTACTGTAAGTCAATAGATTTGAATAAATTTAAGAAATGTGTTTGTTTCTTGTTTTTTTTAGCTCCTTCACACGTGGCATAAAATGTTTAATCTACAAGTTAAGTAGTTAAAAAAATAGTTGCAAAATAGTACAAATAGTGCCAGCGGGAATATACACTGATAAGCTGCTACGTTCCTTAGCAGTTGGTGGCAGGAAAAAAACCAAACATTATCAGCCACATAAATGACTCAATAACCATTTAAAACGACTATTTTCATTAATTTCAGATGGAATTATTCACAGACTGGATTTTATTAAACTGCACTGTTTAGCGCCGATCCGCTATTCCTCTGAGCACAGAGCAGCCGGCTTGTTTGGATTTGCAATAAAAATCACAGGATATCCTACATGAGACACACTGGACCCGTCCTTCAAGACGGGCTAACAGACGGACGCATTTGTTGGCTGCATAACAACGACCCTTCCGATCCGAACAGGCCTTATTATGACGTAATCGGCCGATGAATCTGGCCTTTGGAGGACGCAGCCGCTGAATCTGAACTCAGCAGTTGATTGAATATTATTTTGGGCATGTGTTGAAAACATTTCACCATAGATATGACCTCCAGTCTACTGCTCTGTTTTCATGGTCTTCTTTATTCTAATCCTGGGGATCAAAATAACATTTAATTCCATTCCCATTATAAACTGGTCAGGAGTCTAAAGATTCATCAGGGGTTGTAGGTTCATACCTGCAAATTCATAAATACTCATAAATGTGTGATTAGTACTTGGAAATTTTGATTTGCACCTATAAGTTTGTGATTCATTCAGTTAAAATTTGTTGTTTCCACTTATAGTTTTTCAAAGTTGTAACTTCATAACTTGTATTGTTAATAAACTACGATTTTTTTTCCCTTTTCGGGCCGATTATCCAGTCGTGCGAGAATTTTTTCGATCGGGCCGAGTTTCAGCCTCATGGTGCGTCCTGCATCGTGTAGTTTACAGGGGGGGGCGATCAGTTCTCTCATGACCCCCTCCAGGTCAGGAATAATAAGGTTATAAGAAAATCAAACAGGTTTGAAATTCAGTCGGCCGTCGTAAGGCGGTCGTGGGAAAATCCTGCTGTTGAAGCTGAGCTACGAGCCGATTTACCAGAACCTTTTGTATCACGAATGCGCAAACAACCGAGTTCTTCCTCTTTTTGGAGATTGACGAGTCCGACCAGCGCCATCCCTCTGTGCTGAGTGCGACCTGTGAGCAGGTAGATCGCATCAGAGCATCGGGTTGTACAGCAGAAGAACAAACATCCTGAGCTGGGAACTTTTAAACCCTGCGGTTTCGTTGCGCAGTTTGAGCCGTAGCTTCTTGCAACGATTGAAAATATCGGACAGTGTACGCCCGGCTTTAGAGATTAAACATCTTATGTTGCACATATGTAGGAGCCGACAACAAGGAACCAACATAAATGTTACATTTATTCTCCTATAATGATGTTCCTTTACAAATTCCTGGCAAACGTCTTTATTGAACAACATCTTACCCCATACTGACCACCCTTCAAAAACTGCAAAGGCTAAAGGTCATTCTTCTACGTTTGCACCAAAGCATTTAATGTCAGTCTGCATAATATAAAGACTAATTCATCCCGGGTGGTTTTTAAAAAGAACTTTGCCTGCCATCTGATAAACAGCGTTCACCGCTGAGAGGTAGGTGCGTTTGGCCTGATGTCTAGCTTAAAATGTGTCATGTTACCTGGTGTTTCTTCTATATGCTGATGTTATGTTGGATATCTGTGTATTCTAAAGGTTTCACAGAACAGGAACCTGCTGTAAAACAACAATTATCCTGGTTCAAAGTTCATAAATATTCATGCTGATATCAAAGTAGATGAACACTTTTGGAAATATTATGTAAGTTCTGCTGATAAAACGGCCACTAAATTACGGTCATCAATCAACCATCCAATGAAGCGGTCAAAGAACTAACAAACTAATTAATCAATAAACCAACCGGTTAATTAATCAGCCAACCTGCAAACCAGTCAACCTACCAAATAAATATTCAACCCTTAAAACCACCAGTCCCTAACCGTGACCTTACAGAGCGGCGATGAAGCTGACCTGGGCGGAGCTGTCTGGTCCGTTGCTTCCTGTTCCTTCCCGCTATTCTGAGGTTCTGCAGGTTAAACATTGGAAAGTGTTGAAGCAGAAGCTCTTAGTTGAAGTTCAGTTGCAGGAAGACAGATATGTTTCTTACCTGCTGGAGCTGCTGTTTGCTGCATCAGAGCAAAAAAAGGTCATAATCAGATTTACCAACCAGTGCAGATAGTTCTGTGGTGGATTGATGATCTGTGCTCAGTTTATGTGAAGCTTAAGAAGCCTAACTAACTCTCACACTGCTGATCCTTAGCTTTTAAGGAGAAGACAAAAGGACCTCTGCTTTAGTTTGTCAAAGATGTTTCACCTCTTCAGATATGGTTCATTTGTCTTCTGCTGAAGCTGGATGATCATTTTCTCTATGAGGATCTAGATCCTGGACCAGGTAGAGTAAAGAAAACTAATGTCGATGACGTACCTGAGCCTGCTGCTCAGCTGCTGGCGACTCTTTGCTCTTTAGATCCGGCTGAGGAACAACTTTCTCCAAACCCTGAGAGATCCAGGCTATCATCCCTTTCCTGTGGAGGAGACGCATGTCACTCATCCTAAGAAGGTCTGCACAGGACACCAGAGGGCGCCAGATATCCGACTAGCTCACTACCTGGCATCCTGGCTGATGCATGTTTTCTGAAGCAGCTCACTATCTGGCATCCTGGCCGATGCATGTTTTCTGAAGCAGCTCACTATCTGGCATCCTGGCCGATGCATGTTTTCTGTAGCAGCTCACTATCTGGCATCCTGGCCGATGCATGTTTTCTGAAGCAGCTCACTATCTGGCATCCTGGCCGATGCATGTTTTCTGAAGCAGCTCACTATCTGGCATCCTGACCGATGCATGTTTTCTGAAGCAGCTCACTATCTGGCATCCTGGCCGATGCATGTTTTCTGAAGCAGCTCACTATCTGGCATCCTGGCCGATGCATGTTTTCTGAAGCAGCTCACTATCTGGCATCCTGGCCGATGCATGTTTTCTGAAGCAGCTCACTATCTGGCATCCTGGCCGATGCATGTTTTCTGTAGCAGCTCACTATCTGGCATCCTGGCTGATGCATGTTTTCTGTAGCAGCTCACTATCTGGCATCCTGGCTGATGCATGTTTTCTGAAGAAGCTCACTATCTGGCATCCTGGCCGATGCATGTTTTCTGTAGCAGCTCACTATCTGGCATCCTGGCTGATGCATGTTTTCTAAAGCAGCTCACTATCTGGCATCCTGGCCGATGCATGTTTTCTGTAGCAGCTCACTATCTGGCATCCTGGCTGATGCATGTTTTCTGAAGAAGCTCACTATCTGGCATCCTGGCTGATGCATGTTTTCTGAAGCAGCTCACTATCTGGCATCCTGGCCGATGCATGTTTTCTAAAGCAGCTCACTATCTGGCATCCTGGCCGATGCATGTTTTCTGTAGCAGCTCACTATCTGGCATCCTGGCCGATGCATGTTTTCTAAAGCAGCTCACTATCTGGCATCCTGGCCGATGCATGTTTTCTAAAGCAGCTCACTATTTGGCATCCTGGCCGATGCATGTTTTCTGAAGCGGCTCACTATCTGGCATCCTGGCCGATGCATGTTTTCTGAAGCGGCTCACTATCTGGCATCCTGGCCGATGCATGTTTTCTGAAGCAGCTCACTATCTGGCATCCTGGCCGATGCATGTTTTCTGAAGCAGCTCACTATCTGGCATCCTGACCGATGCATGTTTTCTGAAGCAGCTCACTATCTGGCATCCTGGCCGATGCATGTTTTCTGAAGCAGCTCACTATCTGGCATCCTGGCCGATGCATGTTTTCTGAAGCAGCTCACTATCTGGCATCCTGGCCGATGCATGTTTTCTGAAGCAGCTCACTATCTGGCATCCTGGCCGATGCATGTTTTCTGTAGCAGCTCACTATCTGGCATCCTGGCTGATGCATGTTTTCTGTAGCAGCTCACTATCTGGCATCCTGGCTGATGCATGTTTTCTGAAGAAGCTCACTATCTGGCATCCTGGCCGATGCATGTTTTCTGTAGCAGCTCACTATCTGGCATCCTGGCTGATGCATGTTTTCTAAAGCAGCTCACTATCTGGCATCCTGGCCGATGCATGTTTTCTGTAGCAGCTCACTATCTGGCATCCTGGCTGATGCATGTTTTCTGAAGAAGCTCACTATCTGGCATCCTGGCTGATGCATGTTTTCTGAAGCAGCTCACTATCTGGCATCCTGGCCGATGCATGTTTTCTAAAGCAGCTCACTATCTGGCATCCTGGCCGATGCATGTTTTCTGTAGCAGCTCACTATCTGGCATCCTGGCCGATGCATGTTTTCTAAAGCAGCTCACTATCTGGCATCCTGGCCGATGCATGTTTTCTAAAGCAGCTCACTATTTGGCATCCTGGCCGATGCATGTTTTCTGAAGCGGCTCACTATCTGGCATCCTGGCCGATGCATGTTTTCTGAAGCGGCTCACTATCTGGCATCCTGGCCGATGCATGTTTTCTGAAGCAGCTCACTATCTGGCATCCTGGCCGATGCGTGTTTTCTGAAGCAGCTCACTATCTGGCATCCTGGCCGATGCGTGTTTTCTGAAGCAGCTCACTATCTGGCATCCTGGCTGATGCATGTTTTCTGAAGCAGCTCACTATCTGGCATCCTGGCCGATGCATGTTTTCTGAAGCAGCTCACTATCTGGCATCTTGGCCTATGCATGTTTTCTAAAGCAGCTCACTATCTGGCATCCTGGCCGATGCATGTTTCCTAAAGCAGCTCACTATCTGGCATCCTGGCCGATGCATGTTTTCTAAAGCGGCTCACTATCTGGCATCCTGGCCGATGCATGTTTTCTGAAGCGGCTCACTATCTGGCATCCTGGCCGATGCATGTTTTCTGAAGCGGCTCACTATCTGGCATCCTGGCCGATGCATGTTTTCTGAAGCAGCTCACTATCTGGCATCCTGGCCGATGCATGTTTTCTGAAGCAGCTCACTATCTGGCATCCTGGCCGATGCATGTTTTCTGAAGCAGCTCACTATCTGGCATCCTGGCCGATGCATGTTTTCTGAAGCAGCTCACTATCTGGCATCCTGGCCGATGCATGTTTTCTGAAGCAGCTCACTATCTGGCATCCTGGCCGATGCATGTTTTCTGAAGCAGCTCACTATCTGGCATCCTGGCCGATGCATGTTTTCTGAAGCAGCTCACTATCTAGCATCCTGGCCGATGCATGTTTTCTAAAGCAGCTCACTATCTGGCATCCTGGCCGATGCATGTTTTCTGAAGCAGCTCACTATCTGGCATCCTGGCCGATGCATGTTTTCTGAAGCGGCTCACTATCTGGCATCCTGGCCGATGCATGTTTTCTGAAGCAGCTCACTATCTGGCATCCTGGCCGATGCATGTTTTCTGAAGCAGCTCACTATCTGGCATCCTGGCTGATGCATGTTTTCTGAAGAAGCTCACTATCTGGCATCCTGGCTGATGCTTGTTTTCTGAAGCAGCTCACTATCTGGCATCCTGGCCGATGCATGTTTTCTAAAGCAGCTCACTATCTGGCATCCTGGCCGATGCATGTTTTCTGTAGCAGCTCACTATCTGGCATCCTGGCCGATGCATGTTTTCTAAAGCAGCTCACTATCTGGCATCCTGGCCGATGCATGTTTTCTAAAGCAGCTCACTATTTGGCATCCTGGCCGATGCATGTTTTCTGAAGCGGCTCACTATCTGGCATCCTGGCCGATGCATGTTTTCTGAAGCGGCTCACTATCTGGCATCCTGGCCGATGCATGTTTTCTGAAGCAGCTCACTATCTGGCATCCTGGCCGATGCGTGTTTTCTGAAGCAGCTCACTATCTGGCATCCTGGCCGATGCGTGTTTTCTGAAGCAGCTCACTATCTGGCATCCTGGCTGATGCATGTTTTCTGAAGCAGCTCACTATCTGGCATCCTGGCCGATGCATGTTTTCTGAAGCAGCTCACTATCTGGCATCTTGGCCTATGCATGTTTTCTAAAGCAGCTCACTATCTGGCATCCTGGCCGATGCATGTTTTCTAAAGCGGCTCACTATCTGGCATCCTGGCCGATGCATGTTTTCTGAAGCGGCTCACTATCTGGCATCCTGGCCGATGCATGTTTTCTGAAGCGGCTCACTATCTGGCATCCTGGCCGATGCATGTTTTCTGAAGCAGCTCACTATCTGGCATCCTGGCCGATGCATGTTTTCTGAAGCAGCTCACTATCTGGCATCCTGGCCGATGCATGTTTTCTGAAGCAGCTCACTATCTGGCATCCTGGCCGATGCATGTTTTCTGAAGCAGCTCACTATCTGGCATCCTGGCCGATGCATGTTTTCTGAAGCAGCTCACTATCTAGCATCCTGGCCGATGCATGTTTTCTAAAGCAGCTCACTATCTGGCATCCTGGCCGATGCATGTTTTCTGAAGCAGCTCACTATCTGGCATCCTGGCCGATGCATGTTTTCTGAAGCGGCTCACTATCTGGCATCCTGGCCGATGCATGTTTTCTGAAGCAGCTCACTATCTGGCATCCTGGCCGATGCATGTTTTCTGAAGCAGCTCACTATCTGGCATCCTGGCTGATGCATGTTTTCTAAAGCGGCTCACTATCTGGCATCCTGGCCGATGCATGTTTTCTGAAGCGGCTCACTATCTGGCATCCTGGCCGATGCATGTTTTCTGAAGCAGCTCACTATCTGGCATCCTGGCTGATGCATGTTTTCTAAAGCGGCTCACTATCTGGCATCCTGGCTGATGCATGTTTTCTGAAGCAGCTCACTATCTGGCATCCTGGCCGATGCATGTTTTCTGAAGCAGCTCACTATCTGGCATCCTGGCTGATGCATGTTTTCTGAAGCGGCTCACTATCTGGCATCCTGGCCGATGCATGTTTTCTGAAGCGGCTCACTATCTGGCATCCTGGCCGATGCATGTTTTCTGAAGCGGCTCACTATCTGGCATCCTGGCTGATGCATGTTTTCTGAAGCAGCTCACTATCTGGCATCCTGGCCGATGCATGTTTTCTGAAGCGGCTCACTATCTGGCATCCTGGCTGATGCATGTTTTCTGAAGCAGCTCACTATCTGGCATCCTGGCCGATGCATGTTTTCTGAAGCAGCTCACTATCTGGCATCCTGGCTGATGCATGTTTTCCGAAGCAGCTCACTATCTGGCATCCTGGCCGATGCATGTTTTCTGAAGCAGCTCACTATCTGGCATCCTGGCCGATGCATGTTTTCCGAAGCAGCTCACTATCTGGCATCCTGGCCGATGCATGTTTTCTGAAGCAGCTCACTATCTGGCATCCTGGCCGATGCATGTTTTCTGAAGCAGCTCACTATCTGGCATCCTGGCCGATGCATGTTTTCTAAAGCAGCTCACTATCTGGCATCCTGGCCGATGCATGTTTTCTAAAGCAGCTCACTATCTGGCATCCTGTCCGATGCATGTTTTCTAAAGCAGCTCACTATCTGGCATCCTGGCCGATGCATGTTTTCTGAAGCAGCTCACTATCTGGCATCCTGGCCGATGCATGCTTTCTGAAGCAGCTCACTATCTGGCATCCTGGCCGATGCATGTTTTCTAAAGCAGCTCACTATCTGGCATCCTGGCCGATGCATGTTTTCTGAAGCAGCTCACTATCTGGCATCCTGGCCGATGCATGTTTTCTGAAGCAGCTCACTATCTGGCATCCTGGCCGATGCATGTTTTCTGAAGCAGCTCACTATCTGGCATCCTGGCCGATGCATGTTTTCTAAAGCAGCTCACTATCTGGCATCCTGGCCGATGCATGTTTTCTAAAGCAGCTCACTATCTGGCATCCTGGCCGATGCATGTTTTCTGAAGCAGCTCACTATCTGGCATCCTGGCCGATGCATGTTTTCTGAAGCAGCTCACTATCTGGCATCCTGGCCGATGCATGTTTTCTGAAGCAGCTCACTATCTGGCATCCTGGCCGGATAGATACTCACTCATCGTCAGGCTTGCTGTGGTCCACAATGAGCCAGAACACATAAGAACATTATATTAAACTAATTCCAGATTCACATGTTTAGTTTTTCAACATTTATTTGATCTTTATTTAAACTCCTTCACTTTAGACTTGCTGGCTTTAACCTGCACAGACACCTGATGAACCCCCCCCCCCCCCCCCCCCCCCAATGCATACTGTGGATCAGGGACCCAGAACCCAGTTTTATTCGTCTTTTTTTACCTGGCTGCTGCAGTTTCCTCCTGTGAGAAAATATGAGAGAGAGGAAACAGAAAGCATCAGGAGAACATAGCAGGAAATTGTTGATCATCCAGGATTTTATAGCACTAACATAAAAATAAACACCTAACCCACTTCTCGTACAGACAAACCTGCTTTACAGCTTTACTGTTTTGCAAAGATTAAAGCAGCTACAGCTAACTGTGACGCAGTGAAGGTCTCTGCAGGACCTGATGCTGGGTCAGTAGTTTCTCCTCACCTTGGCAGTGGCGTTAGCTCGGTTGTGGTTGGTTGGGGGTGTTGGCTGAGGGAGGGCGCTGCTGATCCATGTTAGCATACCTGGAGCCGGACTGAGGACATAAAACATTAGGCTCAGTTTCACTTCTTTTTTTTACAGAATCAGTTCGCTTAAGTAAACAGAAACAGGTAGAGTGAATAATCTGTCAGCTGCGCTCTTTTACGTTAACGATCCTCAGATGAGATCATAGATCAACTGAAGCGGATCGGATCCACAGGGAAGATGTCGGGACTCACCCGTTCCCTGCAGCAACCTCAACTTCCTGCTTTGCTTTTTCAGTTTTCAAAGCTGTTGGTAAAACAGGAAAAACATGCAATGAAAAGCAGCAACTGGAGTTTGTTTCTATGAGATAATTCATCGATCTTACTTTCTTTTCTGCACTCATCTTCAAACTTCACCTTCTTTTCCTGTTTGAAAACCAAAAACACACATTTAGAATAAGAAGCCAAATCCCTGCAGCAGCGTTTCTCAACAGATCTTGTTCAACATCTTAAAAACAGAACAGGACAAAAACGAATGACGTCCTCTGGGAATGTCCTTCATCATATGGGATTCCACAAGGCTCCATTCTTGGCCCTCCTTTATATGCTGTGCCTTTAACATTGTATAACTCAGCACCAGTTACTCCTTCATCTGCTGCAGATGATCTACTGATCTATGATCTACTGATCTATGATCTACAGATCTATGATCTACAGATCTACTGATCTACTGATCTACAGATCTACAGATCTACTGATCTACTGATCTACAGATCTACAGATCTACTGATCTACAGATCTACTGATCTACAGATCTACAGATCTACTGATCTATGATCTATGATCTATGATCTACTGATCTATGATCTACTGATCTATGATCTACAGATCTACTGATCTATGATCTATGATCTATGATCTACAGATCTACAGATCTACAGATCTACAGATCTACTGATCTACAGATCTACAGATCTACTGATCTACAGATCTACTGATCTACAGATCTACAGATCTACTGATCTACAGATCTACAGATCTACTGATCTATGATCTATGATCTATGATCTACTGATCTACAGATCTACAGATCTACTGATCTATGATCTACAGATCTACTGATCTACAGATCTACTGATCTACAGATCTACAGATCTACTGATCTATGATCTATGATCTATGATCTACTGATCTACAGATCTACAGATCTACTGATCTATGATCTATGATCTACAGATCTACAGATCTACTGATCTACAGATCTACAGATCTACTGATCTATGATCTATGATCTATGATCTACTGATCTACAGATCTACAGATCTACTGATCTATGATCTACAGATCTACTGATCTACAGATCTACAGATCTACTGATCTACTCATCTACTGATCTATGATCTATGATCTATGATCTACTGATCTACAGATCTACAGATCTACAGATCTACTGATCTATGATCTATGATCTATGATCTACTGATCTACAGATCTACAGATCTACTGATCTACAGATCTACTGATCTACTGATCTACTGATCTACAGATCTACTGATCTATGATCTACAGATCTACTGATCTACAGATCTACAGATCTACTGATCTACAGATCTACTGATCTACTGATCTACTGATCTACAGATCTACTGATCTACAGATCTACTGATCTACTGATCTACTGATCTACAGATCTACAGATCTACTGATCTACAGATCTACTGATCTACTGATCTACTGATCTACAGATCTACTGATCTACTGATCTACAGATCTACTGATCTACAGATCTACAGATCTACAGATCTACTGATCTACTGATCTATGATCTATGATCTACTGATCTACAGATCTACAGATCTACAGATCTACTGATCTATGATCTACAGATCTACTGATCTACAGATCTACAGATCTACAGATCTACTGATCTACAGATCTACTGATCTATGATCTACTGATCTATGATCTACAGATCTACTGATCTATGATCTATGATCTATGATCTATGATCTACTGATCTACAGATCTACAGATCTACTGATCTACAGATCTACAGATCTACTGATCTATGATCTACTGATCTATGATCTACAGATCTACTGATCTATGATCTACTGATCTATGATCTACAGATCTACTGATCTATGATCTATGATCTACTGATCTACAGATCTACAGATCTACAGATCTACTGATCTACAGATCTACAGATCTACTGATCTATGATCTACTGATCTATGATCTACAGATCTACTGATCTATGATCTACTGATCTATGATCTACAGATCTATGATCTATGATCTATGATCTACTGATCTACAGATCTACAGATCTACAGATCTACTGATCTACAGATCTACAGATCTACTGATCTATGATCTACTGATCTATGATCTACAGATCTACTGATCTATGATCTACAGATCTACTGATCTATGATCTATGATCTACAGATCTACTGATCTATGATCTACTGATCTATGATCTACAGATCTACTGATTTATGATCTACTGATCTACTGATCTATGATCTACAGATCTACAGATCTACTCGTCTCTGAAGCCTGGTCGCTATAATAGTCTCCATTGTGTACTGGCCTGTTGCTGCTGTCCAGCAGTATTTGGGCCAGAATGTTTCTTTCATTTATTTGATGGTAGAGCTTTGACTTTTAACTAAAAACACTGTTCAGATATAGAGCTACTTTAGACCAAGGGTCAAATTCTTATTATTGTGAAGAAAAGCTTTTTCTGCAAATTTTGGCTAAAATTAGCCGTTATTATCTCTTCCTGAGCAGCAGAAGCATCGTGCTTCAATCAGCTCCAGATTTGACTGCTCTAATGATCTGTATGCAGTAGCGCCACCAGGGGGTGGCCAGGCTGAACCTGTGCAATATCCTGGCCACCCCAGCAGTCAGTGTAAATTGTATTTTCATCAGTTTAGCATTTCACCTATTATGCACTACCAGCAACGTAAGATTAAAAATATAATAATCATGGTACTGGGGCTGGCCTGTCTGTCCCCTCTGCACTCCTGCTCAGCTCCACCTCACCTGCAATCAGCTCCAGACTGGTTTCACCTGCTTCCACCTGCTTATAAGCCCCATTCAGCTCAGCTACCAGGGCCAGATCATCTCAAACCTACCGGTGAGAACCTGTCTGTTACCAGACCTGATCTGCTTTCTGTTACTGAGGCTGCCTGTCCCTGTTCTGCCTCTATCTGCCTGCCTGGAAACCTGATCAGATCCGTCTCTGGATTTTGGACCCTGTTTATCCTGGATTGCCTGTCTGTAAGTCTGACCCCCTCTGCCTGCGAATACTGGATTTGGCCTAGCCTTTGTGGATCTCTAAAACCTATTAGTTTATGAACCTGGACCTTCCCTCTTGGATTTCCCTGTCTGTACTGCTGCTGGATCTGGACCCCTCTGAATCACGTCTCTGGAAAGCCCCACTGGAATCTTCTGTCTCCCTGACGGCCGCCTCTGGGCTCATGTCCCAGCAAACTCTGCCTCCAAGTAGACTTCAGCTCCTGACTCAGTTCTCTGCCTCAAACCAGCACTTCGTGCTCTGGAGCTCCTGAGTCAGGTTAGCGACCTAGCTCCTCAGTTATCCACTGGTCTCTAACCTGTGTCTCTGCCTCCAGGTGTTCCAGTCTGAGTGCAACCAGTGCACCCTGCACATTAACTGCATGCCCTGTTCTTTCCTTCAATAAAGCGTGTGAAAGTCACTGACCTGTCTTGGTTGAATCTTGGGTCAGACTCTCGTACATTAAAAACAATCACACAATAAGCCAAGATATGTGTAGGTGTTTACTGAAGTCTTTATTATTTCTACATGCAGGTTTCCTGCAATAGTAGATTCAAACCGTGAAACTTTGGCTTTTATTCTCAGTTTGCCACAACAACATTTTTAGTGGCCCCATCTAGCCCCCCCCCTATGAAACATTTCTGCAGGCGCCCCTTCTTTGACTATTTCAGCTGATGGAACGAGTACATTCCTCCGCTGCGAGATCAATAAATACAGTCGTTAGCTCTGTTTTACACTGTTTACATGGGCCTGTTCAGTTGCTAATTTTTACTGGTTGCTTTAAATCTCTTTATGACCTTTTTACTATTTAATTGTTTTAGATCCTGAGTACATGGCCGGTCCATCAGGCCATCCCAGCAGCTTTTGTTTTAGTGTTCAGAGGAAATCTCAGAGGACCTGATAAAACGTGGTGGTACCAACGCTTTGGCTCCCCATTACCAAAACTGAACCAAACTGGGAGTTTTTTAAAAGAAAACTGAAGATGCACCAGCACCAGTTTCATTAGGAGGCTGATTTTTCACTAATAAAGTCAAAAACAAACCAATTAGGTTCAGTAAGCTGCAGCTGGGTGTGAGTCTGAATACGCGAAAAACAATAAACAAGAACATATGGGGGCGGGGCTTACATGTACAGGGGGCGGGGCAGCAGCAGGGGGCGGAGCGGCAGCCGGTGTTCCTTCCTTTGGGTTCTCTGTGTTTTTAGGTGGAAGTTCAGGAGGCTGAGGAACGACTTTAACCACCCAGCTCAACATCCTGGAAGAGAGAAAGAAGCTGTCGCTGTTGGAGGACGAACACTTTGGAATTAACAACGTTTTTTAGTCTTTGGACGGTTTTTAGAATTTAGGGAATTTATGGACTCTGAAATAACAAATAAAACTGATTAATATCTTTGTTTGGTTTTTGAAAACCCTTAATAGCGTAGAGAAGTACCTCCTTCAGCAACGGTCATGATTTACTGAGCAACAGACGACCTGACTGATGCAACTTTCTAAACTGGTTCCAACCAATATTGTTGAAGAGTTATCGGCTCGGTCAGAGGTGTGAGAACGTTTTCCTGTTGTTCTGACGATCAGGTCAGATCCTTGGTGTAAACTTTGTAAAAAGATGGATCCATTCTACTTCATCATCATCAATAGTTTAGGCTGCAAATGGTGGTAAAATGTGGGGACGTCTTCTTGGCCCATGTTGGACCCTTCAGTACCAAATGAGAACTACTTCTCAGCGTAACTGAATAATATTGATGAGTATTTCTATCCCATCCTCTGATGGCTGAACTTTGAGATAATTTTCATATCTCAAAGCTCCAATCTTCTCTGTCTAATTTCTGGAACATGATCATGAATTCACTGGACCTCAGTGGCCTCTATAGTCATCAGATCTCCAATGGTTAATATCAGATGACAAACCTGTAAAAACTGTGTGATGCCATCAGGTCATCATGAACCAAAACCTCTAAGAAATGTTTCTGATGCTCTGAAGGTATGTGAACCAGACCGGTGAGTGTTTCTGATGATTCTGGCCCGTTTGTCCGCACTGCCACCGTCTGCCACCGTCTGCCACCGTCTGCCACCGTCGGCCACCGTCTGCCACCGTCTGCCACCGTCTGCCACCGTCTGCAACCGTCTGCCACCGTCGGCAACCGTCTGCCACCGTCTGCCACCGTCTGCCCTGGCTCTAACTCTCTGAGGCTATTTGGTTCATTGTTTACACAAATGTGATCCCTGCCAGAACCTCGATCAGATCTCGTCTGATCCACCAGTTTTCCTGGTTTAACACATTGCTCTCTGGTGGAAAAACCGTGCCAGATTATAAAAAGCCTTTTGGTCAACAAATGTCCATCCTTCCTTATTCGCATGCCTGATCTCAGTCACGCTTTTGCCTCCTGATTTCCCTGTACTTCCTGGATCGTGTCAGTTATTCTCCGGCTTCAGATCTCTGAACACAGACGTTTCTGCCTTATGCCAGTCACCAGGATCTGCTGGATCTCAATCTTTCTCCTCATGTGCGACGCTGTTTCTGTGCCTTGACAAGTGATTCAAGCCTAATTCTTGGATCATGTCGCCCATTTTTCAACTTTCACAGCTTTAACCAATTTTCTGTCCCCTGATCATCAATAAACCTGAATATATCTCCCTGTAAGTTCTGATTGTGGATCTTTTGGATAAAACCCTCATGTCATACGAAGGATTTACTCTCACAGCCTGTCAGATCTGCAGGATTCTGCAACAGTTAGTGATTTTATTTCTGAACTTAACCTTATCCACATTTTGGTGTCTGTCCATTAACATTTCTCTCTCCTTTCCTGATGTTATTTAAATGCAATTAGCAGCAGATATTTTAAAGTCAATCTATTGAACTTTTGGGTCGTCAGAGCAATATGTTACAGTATTAGATACTTTTACTGATTTCATTTCAGACGTTCCTATGTGGTCTATAGAAGCTAGACGGGTTCCCACAATGCTTTGCAAGACAGGATTTATAGACACTGCAAACCTCACAGAGTTTAAGAAAATCCCGTTCTTGCTCTCTGTACTCTGTGAAACACCTTCCAGTGTTGGTTTTATCATGGAGGGCTTCACTTGTTCACAAAATGTGTGTAAGTTTTGTTTTTTATAGTTCTTTTTCAAAAGAAAATTTTAATATCATGCATTTGCTTTTCTTCTGTATATTTAGTTTCCTTTTGGCAGCAAAACATATTATAATATTTAAAATATATCTTAACACTGATTTAGTTAAAATCTTTGAGTGAATAATTTGAAGCTGCAGACATTTTTATCTGGCTAACAGGCTAACAGGCTAACAGCGCTCTGCTATACTGCCTGTTTCAGCTGGAACAGACTTCATCATCATCCATCGTATTGCAGCTCCTGTTTTTGGCTTTTTTCCTTCCTCTTTCAGGGGAACAACAGTAAGAACACTATCCTGATGGGAAAGGGACTTCAGACTGTTGAATTCGGACATCCTTCAGCTGTATGGGACATCTCCTATGAGTCGTCATTGCAACCTTTTTTTTCTTCTTAAATTTTTTCGGATGTTTTTGCTCTGTCAAAGCGTCACCAATGGACCGGGCATTAATACTGCAGCATCTTATGTGCTTCTCTGGTCACTGTTGAGAACAAATGGCACATTTAGTCCATGCATTGTGAAGATGACTGGACTGGGTCTTTAAAACTCAATCCTGCTTCCAGACTTTCCTCTGAAAAGATTCATTAATTGTGGAGAGATGATTGTGATTATTAAAACGGATGGAAATGAGTCCAGATACGTAAACAGATGGAATCTAGGAAGAAATAACTTTATCTCCTCTCAGCTTAACTCCCCGGCTTTGCTGTTCTGTACTTAATGGAGTTTGGATCACGTCTGGCTGAGTGTCGGACCCAATCACAACGGACTCGTCATGACCCTAATCCTCCATAGGAGGCCACTGGAAAACCAATACAAACATTTTAACTGGTGCCCAGTTGGTCACTTTCTCTCTCTTATCTGTTTAACCGGCTGTGAAGCTGGGAGCTCAGTAGTTCATTATGGGTCGCCATATAGCCTGCTGCTCTAACTGATGGGAAATTGGTTCAGAGATGAATAGCTGGGCAGAGTCAGAACCAGAGGAAACTAACTGGTTAGTCTTCATTTGAGGTGTTGCTTTAACCAGCAGCTCTATAATCCTCTGCAGTCGAGGCCTTTGGGAGTTTTGCTGGTAAACCAGGCCATGGTTCTGGAAGCTGCCCATCTTTGCTTCATGTATAAAGGTTCTGCCTGCAGCTCAGTTCTGCTGAAAGGTTGGGTTTAGAAAGAGGCCATCACCAGTCCGCCCCAGAATCCACTCTAACTGGGAATGAATGAAGCTCTGATTGGATCTAGAAAAGCTGCTGTCTGGTTTTATACTAAATGAATCCTAAAAGGTTTTCGGATCGAATATGTGAACTTTAACTGAAACTTACAATTTTCACACATCCTGACGAGCAAATTTAAAGCTGTTTATTAAGAAAGAAATCAACAAACACTGGAACTTCAGAACCAAAATGCTCCTGGACCTGCATACAGTGAACATTATTGATCCTGCAACCACAACCTGCCACATCTGGAGTCTAAGGACCTCATCCCTGCTTTAGCGTCGCACCTTTAAAAGCTCCTGATCAACGTTTTAACGAAACCAGGCCTGAATCTACCAGTTTACCTCCATTAAACACAGCGAAAGCATCACGGGATCGACAGTTTGGATCAACACAGAGGGCTCTAGCTGTAAAGGTTTAACAAAGCATACAGGAGGGCTGAGAAGAGGTTGAGGGTTCAGGTTAGATGTTCATGGGTTTCCTGTCCTACCTGAATGGTTCAGCTGGTTTCCTGCAGCATCCCACAGAGCTGTAGCGAAGAAAAGACCAGCAGGGATCTGAGCGCAGTGGGAGGATTACAGCGCTAACAGGATTACAGAGGAGCTGAAGGACAGAACCGGACAGAGCAGGAGCTCGGATTACACCTTATGAGGCCAGGACCAGGACACCCTCCCCAACACTGACTCTGTCCTCAGGGGGCAGAAAATATGAAAACATGATATTTGGTACAAATCAGACCGAAAACAGACCTGAATGTGTTTGGATCTGAAAGTCTGAATGGACCAGAGAAAACTTTCACTCATGCAGGTTTTTGTTCTTCATTAAGCCTCCAGCCCTGAAAATGGAAATATTCTTCATCCACTTCGTGAGTATAATTACTGATCGGTGCAAAAATGAAGGTTATTCATTAGGAAAAGTGAACAAAGACAGGCTGGAACTGAACTCTGGATTTAATGTTAAACCCAAACGATAGGTTTTAAAACACACCTGCCGTCTGTGGTCAGAACCTTGGTTCAGTTCTGAGAAATGGGAACCCCGAGCATCTTTCCTTTGGATAAACTTTACGAGAACAAGTTCACTCTCACAAACAACTACAGGTTCTTAGTTCCAGGTACTCAGAGATTAACTTCCACACAGAAAGACCTGTGGAGTAAAAAATGTTGAGGTACGTCTGTTCTTAGCCTCACGGCTCCAAACGAAGGTCCTGAGGGATCAGAATGAGTCACAGCGTCCTTCATGGCATGAAGGGGAGGACGGCTGTTTGGAGGAGATCCAGTGTGAGAAAGGTCTTTATCCAGGGGGTGGGTTGGTTCCCCCGGAGTCACCAGTGGAGCAGTACCGCTATCGCCTTCGTGTTCCGCTTTATTCATGCATAGAAATAGCTTTATTATAATTAATGCAGGGAGTTTTACAGATTATATGGACACTGCTGTAAGTAGAACAGGAAAGAAGGACTTTCACTAAAGCTAAAAGGAAACTTCCCTCATGTGAAAACAGGACCGACTCTGAGGGGCGGGACTAACTGTGAGAAAGTTAAGGTTTAGCTGGGATGCGTGAGCGCTAGCGTCTTTTTGGCTTCCAGTTAAATCCAGAATAGAATTTAAAATCCTCCTCCTCACATATAAAGCCTTAAATGGCCAAGCTCCATCTGATATCAGAGATCTGATTGTTCCTTATGTTCCTAACAGAGCACTTCGCTCTCAATCTGCAGGTTTACTAGTGGTTCCTAGAATTTCTAAAAGTAGAATGGGAGCAGATCTTTTACAGTAGCAGCCATTCAAAATGGCCGTTCCCAGTTAAACGCCAGCTGAATGGCAGCTAACTTCCCTGCAGCTCCCAGTGAAACCCCCTCCAACTTCCAGCTCCTGCAGTGACCCCCCTCCCCCCTCATGCATATTTTTTTACTCTGCCTCCACCCTTTCACTGAATTACAGTGTCTGACCAGCAGATGGCGCTCCTCTTTAGATCTTAACCTCCACAAATCAAGACAGAAAGAATATTTTAGTACAAAGATTGATGTTAAAAAAGGAACTGAAGGGGGAACCAGGCAAGAACCAGCCAGGGACCCATCAAGGAAGGTGGGGAAATTTTAAATGGCTGCTACTGTAGTTTATCCTCTCCTGTCAACCCAGCTACTAGTTTAGAGAAAAGGTTAAAATGTTTCTGTTCTAAGGAGCAAAGTCTTTATCTCCTTGAGGGAAGTTCAGGGTTGGAGCTGAGTATTGCCTGGGGAGCATTTCCTGATGGGTGTTTGTGTGAAGTGGACCTGGCCTTGTTTGCAGGTCTGAGCTGCAGGATGATATCAGTGGCTGCATGTTAAAGCTGTTAATGGGCCTCTGACAAGGATTAGCTGCTAACCAGGTTAAGTCCAGCGTCAGCAAAACCTGGGATTGCAGCGTTCTGAGCCTGACCCTGTGCTCCACCCTGCTCCTGGAGGACCCTTCGTCCCTGGCTTCAGATTCACAAAGAATCCCACCACTAAAGCTTCTCCTAAGAACGTCACTTTATGAAGCTGTTAAACAGAGATTTTCCTCAAATCCTTTTAATTTTTTCCCTTCAGATTTCTCTGATGGCTTTTTAAATATTTAACTTTTATCTAAATGGGTGGAATCCTAGGAAACTTCAGGAGAATGAGGAGAACTAATGAACCTAAGAGGGTCTGAAGCAGAGAAGATGGAGAGAACAGAGAGCTGATTCACTCAAATCTGACTCTCATTATTATTTTGGGGAAGAGATAAACTTGATCAAACCCATTGAGGGAGATTAAATATCTTCAGCAGGCAGACGAGTTAAAGATTAATCTCTGGTAACTAAATGTTATGGAGGATAAATGAATAACAGGACAAATCTGGTGTAAATGGTTCTGATGAACTAGTAGCAGCTCAGCGCGGTTGGGTTGTGTCTGGCACGGCCCGGTTCAGTTGTGCGTTCCATTTACCCTCAGCAGTTATCAGGTTACACAGGTCTGTAGGCGTAACCTGAGGTTACCATGCATGGACCGATCTCAGCATGGCTTCAAACGGGGCTATATCACAGGCATGGGTTCTTGCTCCCTCTGTTTGCTTTCTTTCTTTTTATCATCCTGTAGATTCTCTCCTGCTCTCCTGTGGACAGATTTCTGTGCACTAATGTCCACTTTTGATCACTTTGAGGATGGAACCAACCAGATGAATACACTGCCTGTGATTGGCTACCTTTCAGGAAAACACACCTCTTGAGACACTTTTTTCTTCCTAGCTGGGAATATTAGCTTTAGCAAAGCATCTTCAGGCTAATAGCTGTAATTTTTGTTATAAGTATCAATTTTTAAGAATTGAAAAATTCCCTGGCAGATATATTAACAAACACAGTCTAGGTAGGAAACTGCTCAATAAAATTCTGTCTTAATCCATAGAAAAAGGATGTAAATAAGATGTATCTTGTGAAGTTAGGAAGCTGAGACAGAAGCATTTCCTGCAAGAAATGAGGTTCAAATGTATTTAAAGTTTTCAGACAGACAGACAGAGCTCTGACTGGGCAACGCTCAGTACATTCATTTATACGGCAACTCCCAACACACTCTCTCCCTTGGAACTATCCCACCCCTGCATAAAAAACTTTCTGACACACGAACATTTGGAGGAAAAAAATGTCAGAGGATCAAACTTCCAGGAGGAAAGTTCAGGCTGTCTGCTGCAGGCAGAATAATCCAGGTTTTCCTGAAGTGAAAAAGGAATAAGATGGTAGGATCTCCTGCTGCCCTCTGGTGGACAGTCTGTGAACTTCTCACACCAATAAATAAACCACCCCTGACTAAGAACTGGAAGCTTAGCTCTCCTGCAGCTTCTGTTCCCAGTAGCACCAGTTCAGGTGATACTGGAAGATTATGAGCTTTTGTCTGAGCAGCTGGAGGGTTGTTTGATTCTGAGCAGATTATTTTTCCCTGATCAAATCCTAAAACATTTTAGACTTGCTGACAATTAAAAAAAAAGAATCTGATAACAATAGCGCTGATATTGTGTGAAGGAGGACAGAACGCTTACATGTCCAGGTGGCCCACCTCTGAAGGCTCCGCCCCCTGAACAGGTTATGATCATTGACAGGTTCTTAGTTTGGCTGGATAGACTTTAAACCAATCTGCAATCATTCTCTGATAACACCTGGACCTGTTACCATGGAAACAGGCCATGCTGTTCAGTGTCACCACAGCGGCTTTATTTGTATGTCCAAACCCACTGATAGGCTGAACTGTTGACCCTCAGTGCCCAGTGATTACACTTCCTGCTGTTGCTCACCTGAGGTTGTGAAACCAGGTGCGGCCTGATCGCCGTGGCAACCCTTTGATGGAAGTATCCATAAAAGGTTGGAGTGCCACCCTCCACCCCTCCACTCCCGCGTTATCAGTCACAGAGCAGATAAATGTTATCAGAGGAACCTCGCCATGTCTGTGAACGCTGCACCCAGCAACCTTCAGTAGAACCTGAACCTGGATCTGTTTCTTTCAGTAAATCAATCAGGACAATTTACAGCAGCACAAACTAAACTTATAAATACTTTCGGCAACTACAGTCACGTTTACTGTCAGACCAACTCTGCTGCTGATCCGGTAACACCTCTGGGTTCAGAACATCTAACAGGAAGATCCTCCAGAATAAGATCAATAACTCTGAGAAAGGTGGGAGAGGAGGTCTGGAAAGGGCTGATGGAGGTGGAGGCAGATTGCCCTCTATGGCAACAGGGACTATTTCTTAGGCAGATTGCCCTCTATGGTGTCGGCAACAGGGACTATTTCTTAGGCAGATTGCCCTCTATGGTGTCGGCAACAGGGACTATTTCTTAGGCAGATTGCCCTCTATGGCAACAGGGACTATTTCTTAGGCAGATTGCCCTCTATGGCAACAGGGACTATTTCTTAGGCAGATTGCCCTCTATGGCAACAGGGACTATTTCTTAGGCAGATTGCCCTCTATGGAAACAGGGACTATTTCTTAGGCAGATTGCCCTCTATGGCAACAGGGACTATTTCTTAGGCAGATTGCCCTCTATGGCAACAGGGACTATTTCTTAGGCAGATTGCCCTCTATGGTGTCGGCAACAGGGACTATTTCTTAGGCAGATTGCCCTCTATGGTGTCGGCAACAGGGACTATTTCTTAGGCAGATTGCCCTCTATGGCAACAGGGACTATTTCTTAGGCAGATTGCCCTCTATGGCAACAGGGACTATTTCTTAGGCAGATTGCCCTCTATGGCAACAGGGACTATTTCTTAGGCAGATTGCCCTCTATGGAAACAGGGACTATTTCTTAGGCAGATTGCCCTCTATGGCAACAGGGACTATTTCTTAGGCAGATTGCCCTCTATGGCAACAGGGACTATTTCTTAGGCAGATTGCCCTCTATGGTGTCGGCAACAGGGACTATTTCTTAGGCAGATTGCCCTCTATGGTGTCGGCAACAGGGACTATTTCTTAGGCAGATTGCCCTCTATGGTGTCGGCAACAGGGACTATTTCTTAGGCAGATTGCCCTCTATGGTGTCGGCAACAGGGACTATTTCTTAGGCAGATTGCCCTCTATGGCAACAGGGACTATTTCTTAGGCAGATTGCCCTCTATGGCAACAGGGACTATTTCTTAGGCAGATTGCCCTCTATGG